TGGATGTCATTACAATTATGCTGCCCCTGGAAAATGTCCTGTGGACGCCCATGGTTATTACATGGGGTAACAATATACTTAAAAGACAAATTATTTATATAAAGAAGTAAGAACTTGCGGGTGGAGGGTAGGATAGTTCCTGCCAGAAAAAAAAATCTCATTTGCAAACATTGGACGCTAAGTAACAAATTGCCCCTCACCATATTAAGTAACATATAACAGCAAAATTATACATAAACAAATATTATATAATGGAAGTAATATATGTATAGAAATAAGGGCTACACAATAATAATAATAAAAAAATATGTTATAAAAATTAAATTTATATAATTAAATAGTATTATTACATCCTGCATTATTAGTATCCTATTACATACTGCATTATTCATACTGCTGATTTTTTTCCGTCATTCCCTTATTTTGGTTTGGCATGTGTAAGATAAACATTTGCCACATTTACTAAAATCCATTTACCAATGAGCACATCTGCTTATTTTTGTAAAATAGTACAAATTGCAGTTTCCCTCGTGATATGACTGTATTTTAATGAGTGAGTATGCATAAAGGACGGTTCTGGATGCGAATATCTAAAAGTGTCAGCGTGTGTTGTATTTTTATCTTTAATGTGGCTCTGAGGCAGACCACTGAGCAGGTGACGTGTTCTAGAACATACGCAAATCTTTCCTGTATATCTACAAACCCATTAACTGCAAATACACTTACTGTATGCAGGCAGCCACTAAACCCCAATCCCCCCACCCCCCCCCCCCAAAAAAAATACTGGTTATTAGTATTAGTATGAAATATCTCCAATATTAGCAGGATCCACATGTGTTGTACAAAATGAAAGAAACAAAAAATACAACCCAAAATCAAGTGGAGAGTAAAGGTGTAGAATCTAAGTAAAGAGTGCACAAAAATGAGATATAGAAAGCAGTGGAAATAAAGGGAAAATATGGAAAATTAGGGCAAAAAAAGTGTGGAAGAACTGGAGAAAGAGTACAAGTGTAATATAGCACTTGTTACAGATAGACTACAATAAATCCAAATCCGTAATCATATTTTATGATTATACAGTGTCTAATACAGCATAGTAATAGAGCGCAATAGAACCTAAAGGTGTGATACCCATTAATGCCCAGATATAGAATACAGTGCAGTGCTCTTGCTAATATCAAGACTGTCTTGACATAGAGCACTTTTTTTCCCTTTTTCTCTGTAAAGACATCTTCTGTAGTGATGTCCCGAACGGTTCGCCACGAACGGTTCGCCACGGACTCATCATTCCAGCCAATCAGCAGCAGACCCTCCCACCTCCTGGGCAGCTCACTAAGAATGCAGCTTCAAAATGGATGCTGTCCAGGAGGTGGGAGGGTCTGGGAGGGAGGATCTGCTGCTGATTGGCTGGAATGATGAGTCCGCGGCGAACCGTTCGGCGAACCGTTCGGCGAACCGTTCGGGACATCACTAATCTTGTGTGAAATGCAAATTGAGTATATTTTGGCAGTTTTGCTAAAGAGTAATTTTACAAAAAAAATGCTTTGTAAATTGTATTATGTGTATTAAAAGCTGCTCCAAAAGGCTGACTATAAAGGTAGTGTACGCTATTTTATATAGTATTTTATATAGAGTATTGCCCCTGGTTACCACAGCAACGCTCTATTTGGAGCTTGCGAGAACTTGGTCTGCAGCTCACACCCACAGAGCTGCAGACCTGTAGGGCCAGCCACTGGACCACCAGGGAATGGGGAGCACTGAAAGAAAGGTATATAAATGTGGGGAGGCTAATCACAACCTTCTCACAGCCTGCCCCCACCTCACAGCATGTCACCCCATGTCACCCTCATACCCTGCCCCCCCACTGTCACCCTCACACCATGCCCCCTCACTGTCACCCTATCACCCCACACCCTTACCCCTCCCACTGTCACCCAGACACTGTCACTATCTGTAAAATCTGTCTGGATCGTCAATGTTAAATCTTCTTAATTCCTTCTGGTTGATTGATATATATGTCTTTTGTATATATAGTCTTTGGGCCAAATGCTCGCAAAATTAATATATGTCTATATTAAAGGACCACTATAGTGCCAGGAAAACACACTCGTTTCCTGGCACTATAGTGCCCTGAGGGTGCCCCCACCCTCAAGACCCCCCTCCCGCCAGGCTCTAGGGGGTGGAAGGGGTTAAACTTAACTCTTTCTCCAGTGCCGGGTGGGGGAATCTCCTCCTCCTCGGCTGAATGTGCATGCGCGGCAGGAGCCACGCGCGCATTCAGGCAGTCCATAGGAAAGCATTCTCAATGCTTTCCTATGGACGCTGGCGTCTTCTCACTGTGATTTTCACAGTGAGAAGCGCAGAAGCCCTCTAGCGGCTATCAATGAGACAGCCACTAGAGGCTGAATTAACCCTATTATAAACATAGCAGTTTCTCTGAAACTGCTATGTTTATAGAAAAAAAGGGTTAATTCTTGCTGGACCTGGCACCCAGACCACATCATTAAGCTGAAGTGGTCTGGGTGCCTATAGTGGTCCTTTAATGAAAAGTACTAATACGCAGTCTGACTTACGGTTTCTTCAGGTTTATTCTTAGTTACTGATCCATAGTAAAACAACAAATGATGTTACAGGATAATAGATGTTCAACAGCAGATGGTAATTGCTGGACTTCTGATGGGAGAGTTACATCGTTGTACAGGAAAGAGAGCCAAGAGCCAAGAGAGCGAGAGACCGCGTGTTCAGTTACTATATAGATATGACCATAATGACGTCAGACTATAACTCTAGCCATATAAGGACAAAACCCTTAATCCACATTCCAGATCTCTCATACAAGAAAACCATTGTGATTTATTGATACTATCTGTTACTTATGCCAATCCAGACATCCATATATAATCAATAGAAACATAGCATATGCAGTATTCTACACCATCACACCCTGCCCCCCCCCCCACTGTCACCCTTATGTCCTGCCCCCAACTGTCACCCTCACATCTTGCCCCCCCAACTGTCACCCTCACAACCTGTCACCCATCACTGTCTCCATCACATCATTCCACCCACCACTGTCACCCTCACAACCTGCCCCTCACCACTGTCACCTTCACACTGTCATTGTCACTCTCACACACTGCCTCCCACCATTGTCACTCTCACACCCTGCCCACCACTGTCACCACCACACCCTGCCCCCACTGCCTTCATACACACTGACCCCGTCCTACACACTGACCCCTTCCTATACTGTCACCTTCCTACACACTGCCCGCTATACTGTCACCTTCCTACACACTGTGAAGCCATTCCAGCCCACAGGTAAGAGGCAGGAAGGGGGGGCTATAATCCAAATTTAATTTAAACTGCTCACCCCCACCAGCATTTATCCAACTCCACACACACACTCTACATGCACTAGACAGACACTGCATCCAGTATACACACCCAGACAATATATTTAATACACACACTGCATACAATACACACTGCATTCGCTACACACTAAATATGATATACAGACTGCATCCACTACACACACTGCATAACATAATGGTTGTTGGCGTGCTCTTGGTGCAAGGCAGACGGGGTGGGGGGCAGCATTTCATCCTTGGACCCAGGCAGCATAATCAGTAACTCCGTATCACAAAACCGGCTTAAAAAAGGTAAGTTTCTTCCCAAGCCAGTTTAGTGAATAAGGAGTCACTGTTTGGCTGAGGGCATTAGCTGACCGCCTCAGCCGATCAGCGGCGACTCTGCCCGGCGGCACTTTAGGCGTCTGGAATCCGAAAATTCCCAAACTGGTAGCCGCTGTGGGGGGAGAGTTGGGGGGTGGGTTGGGACCAGCGCTGTAGGCAACTTCGGGATTAAACCGTTCAAGGATGGTTTAACTCCTTGGGGTAATAGTGCCTCCAGGAACCTCCCAGCACCATAACAACTTAATTTAGATGAAGTTGTTTTGGTGCCTGGAGTGTGCCTCTAAATCCCTGGCAGTGTGTGTAATATATATTCTCCAGTATCTTTATTAAAGTTGGATTATTTTACTATACTATTGTGGAAAAAGAAAATTTCAGGGAAGTTTGACTATAACGCGTTATTCGACATGACAGCAGAGTGTTCGGTCTGTTCCTTATTTCACGTGTTAATAAAGTACTTCCAAAAAGAAAAAAAAGACAATCCCGAGCAGCAGCTCCCTATGGATAGACACAGACTCACCCACGCAGTGAGCGGGCGCGCGGATGCTCAATCCCGAGGAAGCGGGCAGCCAATCAGCTGAGCCCAGAGCCTCTCGCGGATGCGTCGCGTGCGCTCCCCGCCCCCTCAGCCCAGCCAGCTCGGTGTGTCCGTCCTGCAGCCGAGCGATCGGGACCCGCGAGGAGCAGCCCCCCCCTCCCTCCCCCGGCCGCACGGTGACCCGCACAGCCCCGGCTCCTCCGTCCGCCGCCGGCCCGGTGTGTGTCAGGCCGGCGGGATGTCTGCGGCTTCGAGCTCCTACGGGCTGGTGACAGGAGGCGGGGAGGCCGTGCTGTCCCGGGGCCCCGAGCCCTTCCCACCGCCGCCTCTCCCGCTGCCGCCACCCCTGTCCCTCGTGGCCGGAGTGATGGGCCCCGTGGACGAGGTGGATTCCCTGGACGGACCGGAGTATGAGGAGGAGGAGGTGGAGATCCCAGCCCCCCCCTCAGTGCGCCCCCACCAACCAGTAAGTACCCCCACCAACCAGTGAATTACCCCCACCAACCAGTAATGGCACCCCCACCAGCTAGTAAAGTACCACCCCCCCCAACCAGTGGGGTACCAACCAGTAAGTACCCCCCACCAACCAGTAAATTTACCCCCCCTTGCCCAACCAGTAAGTACCCCCCCCACCAACTAGTAAGTACCACCCCACCACCAACCAGTAAGTACCACCCCACTCACCAGCCAGTAAGTACCACCCCCCACCAACCAGTAAGTACCCCCACCAACCGAGTGGTACCACCCCCAACCAGTAAAGTACCACCCCCCCCACCAACCAGTGGTACCACCCCCACCAACCAGTACCCACCCCCACCAACACCCCCCACCAACCAGGTACCACCCCCCACCAACCAGTACCGCCCCACCAACCAGTAAAGTGCCCCCACCAACCAGTAAGTACCCCCCACCAACCAAGTACCCACTTACCACCAACCAGTAAAGTGCCCCCACCAACCGGTAAGTGCCCCCCACCACCCAGCCAGTAGGGTACCCCCCCCAGTGCACCACCCACCAACCGTAGGTACCCCCCAACCAGGCCGAGTAAAGTACCCCAACCAACCAGTGCACCCCCACCAACCAGTAAGTACCAGTAAGTACCCCCACCCAACCAGTAAGTGCCCCCAACCAAGTAAGTACCCCCACCAACCAGTAAGTACCCCCACCAACCGGTAAGGGTACCCCCCACCAACCGGTAAGTACCCCCCACCAACCGGTACCAGTACCCCCCACCCCCACCAACCAGTGGTACCACCCCCACCAAATTTTACCAACCGGTAAATTGCCACCCCCCACCAGCCAGTAAGTACCACCCCCACCAACCAGTACCCACCCCCACCAACCAGTAACCCCACCAACCAGTAAGTGCCACCCCCACCAGCCAGTAAATTACCACTTACACCAACCAGTAAGTACCGCCCCCACCACCAACCAGTAAGTTACCACCCCCCCACCAACCAGTGGTACCACCCCAGTGCAAGGTACCCACCAGCCAGTACCCACCCCACCCACCACCCCCCCACCAACCAGTAAGTACCACCCCCCACCACCAGTAAGTACCCCCCAACCAGTAAGTACCACCCCCCACCAACCAGTTACCACCACCAACCAGTTAACCAGTCCCCCACCAAGTAAGTTCCCCCCACCAACCAGTAAGTTCCCCCACCAACCAGTAAGTACCCCCCCCACCCAACCAGTAAGTACCCCCACCAACCGGTACCACCCCCACCAACCAGTACCACCCCGCACCAGTAAGTACCACCCCCCCACCAACCAGTAAGTACCACTTACCAACCAGTAAGGCACCCCCCCACCAACCAGTAGTGCCAGTTCCCCCACCAACCAGTGAGCAGTGCCCCACCCCACCAGTAGTAAGTTTCCCCCACCAACCAGTAAGTGCCACCCCACCAAGCCACCAACCAGTAAGTGCCACCCCCACCAACCAGTGAAGTGCCACCCCCACCAACCAACCGGTGAAATTTGCCAGTGAAGTGCCCCCCACCAATAGTAAGTGCCCCCCCCACCCCCACCACCAGCCAGTGAGGTACCACCCCTGCCCCCCAATGGTAAGTTACTTTACCACCACCGGTAAGTTACCACACCAGCCGGTAAGTTACTTACCCCACCAACCGGTAAAGTTACTTACCAACCACCAACCAACCAGTAAGGCCACCCCCCACCAACCAGTGACCCCCCCCCACCACCGGTAAGTGCCACCCCACCAACCAGTAAGTGCCTCCCCCCACCAACCGAGTGCCACCCCCCACCAACCAACCGGTAAGTACTTTACTTTTCCCCCACCAACCCCTCCCCCCACCAGCCAGTGCCACCCCCACCAACCAGTAAAGTACCCCCCCACCAACCAGTAGTAAGCCAGTAAGTACCCCCCCCCCCACCAGCCAGTAACCAGGCACCACCCCCCACCAACCAGTAAGTACCACCCCCACCACCACCACCCACCCCACCAGCCAGTAAGTGCCCCCCCCCACCAACCAGTAAGTACCCCCCCACCAACCAGTAAGTACCACCCTGCCAGTACACTTTACCCCCACCAGTAAAGTACCCCCCCCACCAGCTTCACCCCCACCAACCAGTAAATTACCCCCCCCACCAACCAGTAAGTACCACCCCCAACCAGTAAGTACCACCCCCCACCGACCAGTAAGTACCCCCCCACCAACCAGTGAAATTACCCCACCAACCGGTGAGTACCCCCACCAACCAGTGAGTACCTAAATCCCAGTGAGTACCCCCCCCAACCAGCAAGTACCACCAACCAGCAAGTACCTACCGACTTTGTGTACCACCTACCAACTGGTAAGGGTTCCACTTTGTGCCCCACCTACTGATTTTGTGCCCCACCTTCCGACTGGTAAGGGTTCGACTTTGTGCCCGACCGACCGGTTAGGGTTCCACTCTGTGCCCCACCTACCGATAGGTAAGGGTTTCACTCTGTGCCCCACCTACCGACAAGTAAGGGTTCCACTCTGTGCCCCACCTACCGACAAGTAAGGGTTCCACTCTGTGCCCCACCTACCGACAAGTAAGGGTTCCACTCTGTGCTCCACCTACTGACTTTTTACGCCCAACCAACCGACCGGTAAGGGTTCCACTCTGTGCCCTACCGACTGGTAAGGGTTCCACTCTGTGCCCCACCTACCGATAGGTAAGGGTTTCACTCTGTGCCCCACCTACCGACAAGTAAGGGTTCCACTCTGTGCCCCACCTACCGACAAGTAAGGGTTCCACTCTGTGCCCCACCTACCGACAAGTAAGGGTTCCACTCTGTGCTCCACCTACTGACTTTTTACGCCCAACCAACCGACCGGTAAGGGTTCCACTCTGTGCCCTACCGACTGGTAAGGGTTCCACTCTGTGACTTAAAGACCGACCAGTAACTACCCTCTCATATCAAAGCATGTTAAACTGTACCTAACCAGACCTACTAACCAGTAATAACACTTCCTACAGCGACTAAACAAGTACCCCGCCCACCGTGGACCTAGTATTACTTCACTAACCACAGCCACAAAAGAGAATTAACCTAACTCACTGTGGTCAACAAAACAGCAAGAGTATCACTTACCATAGGACACAAAAATAACACAAATCATGACTTCGTACTCTAACTAGTAAGTACTATATTCATGAAAGCTCATGAGTCAGTACCCTGCTCAGGGCAGCTAAAACACTACATTGCTGATTCTTTCTAGAATCTGTCTCTCTGAACATTTTTCAGTTTATGGAGTTTTTTTGTTTTTTTTAAAGAGGCGCATAATACAAACTCCACCCTGGCACTTCAGCTATTATTGAATTTTGTTTCCATAGCTGGAGAACAGTTAACACATGAATCAAACCTACACATTTGGCTTCTGCCTTCTTCCCCCACTTCCTGGCTATTGCTCTATACTTGTATTCAACATCTGAGTCAACCCACCCACTGCCCTCTATGCCAGCCTCCACTGTTCCTCCAACCTTGTTGCTGTTATCAGTTTCAAATCAATATTGATCACTGTTTAATATTTTAACATTGCTTGCCTGAGAGGGCCATGTATTACAAATTTCTGATCCTGTACTCAGCTTATACCTAATTTGTAGAGCAAATGTGGTACCATTTTTGTTAAGTAGATTTCAAAATGCAATTAAGTTAAAGGACCACTATAGTGCCAGCAAAACAAACTTGTTTTCCTGGCACTATAGGGTCTTTAGGTTCCCCCCACCCTCATGGCCCCCCTCCCACTGGGCTGAAGAGGTTAAACACTTACCTTTCTCCAGAGCTGGGCTCCCTCGGCGCTGGGGAACTCTCCATCCTATTTTGACGTCAGCACTGAATGCGCATGCACGGCAAGAGCCGCGTGCGCACTCAATCAGTCCATAGGAAAGTATTTCTCAATGCTTTCCTATGGACGTCAGCGTCTTCTCACCGTGAATTTCAACGTGGGAAGCGCCTCTAGCGGCTGTCAATGAGACACTAGAGGCTGGATTTCTCTGAAACTGCTATGTTAACAGCTGCAGGGTTAACCCTAGATGGACCTGGCACCCAGACCACTTCATTGAGCTGAAGTGGTCTGGATGCCTATAGTGGTCCTTTAAAGGACCACTATAGTGCCTTGAGGGTACCCCCCACCCTCAGGGTCCCCCTCCCGCCGGGCTCGATGGCGAGGAAAGGGTTAAAACTTACCTTTTCTCCAGCGCTGGGCGGGGAGCTCTTCTCCTCTTTGGCTGAATGCGCACGCGCGGCATGAGCTGTGCGGGCATTCAGCCTGTCTCATAGGAAAGCATTCATAATGCTTTCCTATGGACGCTTGCGTCTTCTCACTGTGAAAAATCACTGTCAGAAGCACGCAAACGCCTCTAACGGCTGTCAATGAGACAGCCACTAGAGGCTTTAGAGGGTGGATTAACCCATCTCTGAAACTGCTATGTTTATAGAAGAAAGGGTTAATCCTAGAGGGACCTGGCACCCAGGCCACTTCATTAAGCTGAAGTGGTCTGGGTGCCTAGAGTTGTCCTTTAATGCCTCGTTTCCACTGGGCGGAATGGTTTGAGTCGGTACAGTTTGAAAGGGTTAGAATGGTCAAGCCTATTCAGGTGAGCATTTCTACTGCAAGTCGGACTGCCAGGGGGCATGCAAGGTTTAGACCAAATGCCTAGCGTGTCATTTGTTGTGAGCATTGACATTTCATGTCCGCCAATCAATGGATTGTATAGTGTGACGCTAGTAGCTCCGCCCTAACTGTACCGTATCATTTCCTATGAACCTTCATCTGAAGGGGGCCTAGGATTGGTTTGGTTCGGTTGTATGGGCCACTTTCATAATGGAAACACTCAAAATAGCGAACCGAACTGTTCCGCTCAGTGGAAACGAGGCATAAGTTATCTTTTACTAACTGTCTCCTGAATTTTTATCGCTAATTCTGTACCAATCATTACATATAACTGTTAAATTGTGAATAGAAATTTGCATGCTAACAATTTTGTAGTTACAAAAGATATGCTTTTTAAAGTTCCTTGATATCTATTTATTATTATTCTTTTTTTAATTGAAGGAATTACCTATACCTAAAATATAAACTCAAAATAATACTCCCCTCTCCTGAGCATGATCTTTTGAAAAATTGTTTGTCTTTATGTATTCTTGATGAAGCTAACTTTCTTCTCCTACTCTGGATAAGTCCCAGGCTGCTGGTAGGAGAGATGCTTCAGAGGGTTACTGCTGTCACCCAACATTTTGATATTTAAAAGTACACTCTTTGGTTTTGTTGTTCAAATGCTGTTCCTTTTCTCAGGTTGTGTTTACGTTTGCCAGAGATCAGACCTCTAATGGCTGTAAGACTGAGAGGCACTTACTTCTTCGAAAATCAAATGTCTTCAATTGTCACACCGCATGATGACACTGAATGCAGTTAATGGAGCTCTAGTGTCCGGAATACAAGCATGCATTCCTGACACTAGGGCTGGAATGCAGTAATAGGTTCCTGGTACCTTTCTCTTATGCCGAATCAGTCTTGCCATGGCTGGCCCTGCCTCCTTGGCTGAAATCAGTTATAATCTAAGCCAATCCAATGTGTTTTCCCATAGAAAATGCATTGGGAGGCTATTGCAGATGTGTAGCAAAATGCTACGCTGGGCCAATCTGCATTTCCTTGTAGAGTTGCTGAACGCCCTGTGTTGGACACTGTGCAGCACTGACACAGGAAGCACTTCTAGTGGCAGTCTCAGTGACGGCCACTAGAGTTGTAACTAGCCACAAATGTAAACACTGCCTTTTCTCTGCAAAGGCTGCAGACACATGCTATATTAAAAAAAAACAACAACAAAAAACACTATATTAAGCTGTAGTGGGTCTGGTGAATATAGTGTCCCTTTCATGCCAAATTAATCCAAGATTATGGCGATCTTAGAAGCAGAGCGCCTGCTGCTTGGAGATTGTACCTGTGATGGAATAAAGGAAAGTTTTTAATGTTTTTCTAGGAGTGATCTGAATATAAAGCATTGGAACACTCTTAAGATTAAAAAAAAAAATGTAATTCTAATCTTTCTTTAACTGCACGTCTTTCTGATTGTGTAATTTTCTGTCTATTGGGAAATAGGCAGCCCTCTAAAATGATCAGTTTAGCTTTGTAGTGATACCTTAGTTTGCCCACTCTAGAGCATGAACATTTCTTGTTGGAGTTAAAGTGGATTTGTCACTTCTTGGATTTTCCCCAAACCCAGTGGCTCACTATTAAATGAATGCCCACAACACATGCTCTTGTACTGCATTTGATATTAAAGGCGCCGGGAGCCTTGTGAAGCCGCGCCCCCTTTTTCGTCAAAATGACGAAATAGGCGGACACGAGCAGGGAGCAATCAGACGCTTCCATTTGGAATCGTCATTGCTCCCTTGTGCGCATGTGCGGCTTTGCCGCATATGCACACATACTTCAGAGGGCGGTATTCATGAAGTCCTGAGCGCATTACCGCGCATGTGACTGACAGCTCAGCTCGCGGTCTTTGCCCGCCCACAGAAGAGAGAAGGTGCGCGCACACAGTGCCTTCTCTCTCCTGCACACGTCTGATGTGTACAAGGCCTTTTTATCCCCTACATGATAGGAAGTCCCTCTGGTGGCCACTGGAGGTATTCCTATCAATCAATGTAAACACTGTATTTTCTCTGAAAATACAGTGTTTACATTAGATTGCCTGCAGGGAGCTATAGATCATACCTGAACAACTACATTAAGCTGTAGTTGTTCAGGTGACTATAGTGTCCCTTTAAAGGATCACTATAGTTTCAGGAAAACAAAGCGGTTTTCCTGACACTATAGTGCCTTGAGGGTGCTCCCACCCTCAGGGTTCCCATCCCGTGGCGCTGAAGGGGTTAAAACCCCATCAGCCACTTACCTTAATTCAGCACCAGGCTCCCTCGGCGCTGGTGACCTCTACTCCCCCGCCGACGTCAGCTCCCTCGTCCGACGTCACTGGAGCCGAATGCGCATGCACGTCAAATGCCGCACGTGCATTCAAAGTTTCCATAGGAAAGTATTTCTCAATGCTTTCCTATGGACGCTCTGCGCGATGGAGGTGAAATTCGCCTCCAGCGTCACAGATGCGCCTCTAGTGGCTGTCCGAAAGACAGCCACTAGAGGCTGGATTAACCCCAAATGTAAATATAGCAGTTTCTTGTGGAATGCTGGTGTCAGACTACAGAAGTATCTACCTACACCATAATCCTTCAATAAGATTTATTCTGATAAAAGTGACAGGTAACTCTAAGAACAATAGCAACCACAGTGTGCAATTGTGGTTTTGTGTGCCCATGCTGAAGCGCTTTATGTGTGAAGAATGTATCTTACACCTACTTGCTGCCAATCACTTATAGTTTAGCTCAGTGGAGCTAAACACAAGAAGCTGCAAATGCACAGAGTTCCTGCCTTGCTAGACTTTTCATTGAGCTGCATTGGGAAGTCTGTGATTGGACAGACACAGAAAGCCTGGACCAGGTTAGAAGGTGAGAGCTTGCAAAGGTTTCAGACAATGAATCTGCAGTTTTTTTAAACCTACCCACCCAATGAAAAAAAATCTATGATTAAAGGTATGTTTTCTTTAGGGATTTAGCTACTAAACAGTTATTTTTATTTGTCCATTAGCGTCTTCCTGTTAGCGGAAGTTCCTAATTCAGCATTGGATATCAATTCTGTCTAGCTTTCACATTTTTTACAAATACATTCCATCCAATTCTGACAGAATTTGATTTCTTAAAAGTGTTTGAAAACCATTTGACTCTTAACAGCAGAATGGGGCCAGGTGATTCTTGGCACCATAAACACTACGGCAGGTTGTAGCTGTCTTGTTGCTTGAAGTGTTCATTTAATCCCTTAAAGACACATGACATGATATGATTCCCGAAGTTTGGTCCTTAAGGGGTTAAATAATCTGCGTGAAAGTAACAGATTACATTCCCTAACCCTTTCTGATGTGGCATATTTTACATTTCCTGTGTGTTGAAGCAAAACATTTAACTATAATGTGAACAGATGGTGTTTTGCTGTTGGATATATGTAAACAGTTGATTGGTACATGTAAAGTTCTAACTAAGAGCACAAACATGATTAGACCCTCTTTAATTCCTTAAGGACAAAGACTGCTTTAGTTGTTTGGAACATAAACAGTCAATCTATTATGACACTTTTTCTGTGTTTGTCCGCTATAATTAACCTCTGCACCCACATATCCCTTATACATGACTGACAGATTTACTTTAATACCAGATTTTTGTGTGCACAGTATGTATATTTAATATGAATAAATCTAAAGTAATTTGGAAACTTTTTTTTAATTAGTTTTTGTAATTTTTGCATAACTAAGTCAGGTACAGAAAATTACCAGGATTACTTATTTTTCTCGGTTTGGGGAAGGAATCATATGACTACAGTTTTCTTTTTTATTTTTATCTGTCCCAGAGATTAGTTTTTTAGTTTTTTTTTGTGTGTGCTGTTTATACCGGGGCAGGCAAACTTTGTCGCTCCAGATGTTGTGGACCACATCTCCAATGATGTTTTGCCTGCTTTATGGATGTAATAGCCATAAAGACACAAACGTAACAGTACTGTTGGTCTTGAAGACTGCTTTACAACAATTTGCTTAAATTCATACTTTTATAGTTGAAATCATTTTACAATTAATATTGCTAATCTTGCAGTTTCATTTTCATATGAGTAGTCCAGCTAGGGAGAGCTGGGCTGCACGTGCCTTGGTGACTGGTTTTGGTCAGACCACTCAAAAGCAGTTTGACCAAGAATCCAGGACTATGCCCACTGCAACCACTTTGAGCATGTCGCGGTTTATGGTGCTTAATCTGTTCTTATAAATGCAGAGTGGGTGACTCATCAAGTCAGGCACTGTGTGCAGTAATAACATATTGCCTTATTTATTCTTTCTGTAGATACATGAACTATGGCTTCCAGACATTGGTAAACCGCAAATCCTATAGAACATTAATACAAGAATTTTAACAAAGATTAAAAACGGTTTATTAATAAAATATGTAGTACCCCAAGCTGCTTGTCTTGTAGATGTACATGGCTGCCATCAGAGTTGTTTTGTAAAGGAAAGAAAATGTTTGATACTACTGCCGAAAGTTATATTAATGTATATATTTTTTTCAAGTTAGAAATAAAGAAATTGTATGATATACTGTGTAATAAATGGGCAAATGTTTTGATAAGACTACATGGTGGAGAAATAAAACCTTTTGAAGTTAGCCTTTTCCATGGAATCAGATTTGTCATTGTTGACATACTTGCACGGCTCAAGATTGACTAAGGGCTGTGATTCTTTTACCAAAAGTTTTACCAAAAGTTGTTTTTACTTGACATGTCCGGCATGTGAAATCAGTTACCTTACTCACTACATTGCTGTATACATTCAACTGTGTTTACAGGGGTGAGGGATTAAGGAAATGTCACTTCCAGGGAAGTGACATCTCTGCTTTATTTGTGATTATATTGCTTATGAAAAGTGTGTAACTTGTAAGATAAATAATCTTGTTTATGTAAACAAGTATGAACATGGTCATCAAATAATGAAAAACTGGTTTATCACTAACCTTTTTCATAGAAAGCAAAATTACTGCTCCCAGCCAATTAATTTGAACCCATTAAATACCAGCAACATATTCGGGGTTAACCGAGATTCATTTTTCAGAGCCGATACTGATGTTGATAACTGGTACAGCTATTCTGCACGTTTAAAGTTTTCAAAGTAACACAATCTCTACACAAATGTACCATTACCTGAACACATGTTTTTGTTTTAAATTTAAAACATAGCGGTACTCTTATAATTTAAATTATTTTGCATATTATGTAGACTTTTTTTATTCCCATATGAGGAATCCAGCAAGGGAGGGTAGAGCATGACTTTGGGTTTGGTCACACTACCCAAAAGCAATTTAACCTAGAATCTGTTAAAATATATATAGATGTAGACGACCTGAGAAAGAGGAATAAAATATACCACCTAGGATTTTCTCATCCTTAATGGGTAGTATATTTTATTCCTCATCCTCTGGTCCTATACCAGAGGCCTGGGAGTATGAGAGTTCTGCGCAGTATCTGAGGTGTTCAGAGAACTGCACTTTTCTGGACAACAATCTCAGATGTCCCACCTGCAGTCTGTTGAAGCCACACACCCAAACTGGGAGTCACAGCCCTGAGTGCTCCATTCACAACTGGTACTACTACATCCTTTCTAGCTCTTCTTTCAGTTCTTGGCAGTTGTCCATCTTCTCATGTTCCTTCTTCCTGATGTTATAGTCAGTGGGTATTGCCACATTTACAACAACTGCAGTCTTCTTCTTGTTTACCACCACATTGTCAGGTTGTTTGGCCAGTACATGTCTGTCTGGATCTGGAAGTCCCACAGGATCTTATCCCTATCATTCTCAACTACCTGCTGTGGTATCGCCCATCTGAGCCTAGGCAGGTTCAGCCCATATCCTGAGCAGGTGTTTTGGTTCACAATCCCAGCAACTTGGTTGTGTCTTTCAGCGTATGCTGTTCCTGCTAACATTCTTGCAACTGGCAACTATTTGCTGGATTGTCTCTGAGGCCTCTTTGCACAGTCTGCACCTTGGGTCTTGCCTCTGTGGCAGACCCTTACCGCTATCAATCTGGTGTTGAGTACCTGTTCCTGCGCTGCTAGGATTAATGCCTCAGTGCTGTCTTTCAGTTGTGCCTTTTTCAACCACTGGTAGGATTTTGTCATGTGAAACACATCCACTATCTGCTGGAGGTACACCCAATGGAGAGGGTTTTCTTGCCATGGAACCTCCTCCTTTTCTGCATCCTCCATCTATTGGCATTCCCTTAGCACTTCATCTTTGGGAGCCATCTTTGTGATGTAGCTAGGGCAAGAGATGCTGCTTAGATGAGTAAGGTTTGTAATATCATTGCTGTCCTGAAGAACAAGGGAAATTCTTTTTTTTATTAAATGTTTTTATTTGCTAGCACATTGTATAAACTAAATGTAATGTACATAACATCTAGCTAAATGTGTGTTAATAACAGGCACACATAATCAGTGTTCCAGTGAAGTACTAAATGTACTAAGATTTCCCCCCCCCACCCCCTTAATCATGGATTAAATTAATCTCAAATTTTCAGTGCTATTACTGCAAGAGATTTGCATCACTGCAAATTTGAGTCTTCTGTGGGAAAAGCTAGTCTTATGGTTTGACTGGTGTGTGCAGATCCTTGTTTAACAATGTATTGACTATCCAATGACTTTAGATGGAAGGGGTTTTCAGTCACTTTTTGCCCCCACGATAAGGATCTTGTAATACATTTGTTTTACCCATTAAAACATTGTGACTCAAAATGTACACTGGCCATAAATAAACAAAGAAGCAAACCCGTTTAGTAGTAATTTCATTATGCATGTTATTTCATTGGTAGACTTTTGGTTTGATGTGCTTTCATTATGAGTTTTCCAGTTGTAATACGTTTTACCTGTCCACCTTTTTCTGATTTTTTTTTTTTTTTTTAATTTGGTTTACATCCATAACCAATAGGAGAAGCTCTGTATGTGTACTCGCATGACTTTGCGTGCGCATAATTTTTCTTTGGTAAAGTGCCAGTAATGGACACTTTCTTATTTTTTTATTTATTTTATTTTTTTTTTTTTTAATAAATTCTTTTAATTTTTCACAAATACAAATAGACATAAAACAAACATTCATACCCATGTCTAAGGCAAAGGAAAGGTTTTTGTACTGTAAGAACAATCAGGATGTGGAATTCTCAGCCTGAAGTGGTTTTATCAAACAGCTACTAGATGCATACTTGCAAAAACAGAATATTCAAGGATATAATCTTTCAATGTAGGGTAATAACTGCTTGATTCAAGGATCAATCTGCCATTCTGGGGTCAAGAAGGAATTTTTTTCCTAGCTTGTTGCAAAATTGTGCTTCAAACTGGGTTTTTTTTGCCTTCTTTTAGATCAACAGCAAAAAACAAATGTGAGGTAGGCTGAACTTGATGGACGCAAGTCTCTTTCCAGCTATTTAACTTTGTAACATCTTTGTTATATTCTAAATAATTATTCAAATATATTAAAACATGCATAAAAAAAACTACATAACAGAAGAAGCTGTTTTGGCCCAGGTGCTATTATATCTTAAAGTTCAATTAGGGTCCTACTCTATTTTGTTAACCCAATCTTGCCAAAAAATGTCTTTTTGGAGCATTCATGAATGGGATGCTTAGATCTCTTTCCATCTTTATCTGGACTTTAATTTGTTCTTTAATGGGTTCCCATGCAAACTCTTGGTTATTTTTTTCAGTTTCGTGCCAATATAGTTTTATAAGCAATAAAACAATGTATAATAAAATTCTGATGTTTGAATGACATATTTGGCCAATGCATATGCAACAATGCAACTTCAGGTTTTCTATCTAACATTATTCCAGTCTTATCCCTAATAAATCTATATAATTTTATTACATTCTGAATATTCGGGCAGCTCCACCAAATGTGGAGAAATGACCCCTCCTCCTTGTCGCATCTCCAACACTTTGCCGAAGCACCTGGATACATCTTAGCTAATCTTTTTGGAACCAGATACCACCTATTCATACGTTTATAATAAATTTCTACTAAGTTCAAACATTGTACTTGGTTACACGTGTTATTGATTGTCTTACACCAAATGTTGCTGATCTAATAAACAATTAAGATATTTTTCACATTTGTTCTTTTGGGGAAAGCTTAATGAATAATGTTTCTAATAACCTCTATTGATTTTGCTAAAGCCTTTGGGACGACCTCCCTTGAGAAAAGGAATTATAAAAACTTTAGGGATCTCATAGTATCCCTGGAGAGGTGTTTCAGCAAGCAGTTCCTGACTCTTAAATATGCAAACCTCTCAGTATCGGGTAACTGGGATGTTTGCACAATAGATTTGAATGTCATTAACTTATCTTGAATTAGTATCTGTGACGCTTTGTATATTCCTTAGTCTTTCCATCCAACCAGGGATACATTTTCCACATTTACCTCTATCTCTAAACTTGAGGAATCAAAAATTGCATATCTAAGACCTATTTTTAATTTTATTTCTTCCCAGACCGGAAATAACTGGGCCCGTATTATTAATATTAATACCCATTTTTTTTTTCAATTCCAAATCAAGCCCTCAGTGTGTTTAAGACCCAAATCTTTCATTTCTATTTTAAAGGACCACTATAGTGCCAGGAAAACATACTCGTGCCTCCACCCTCAGGGACCCCCTCCCGCCTGGCTCTGGAAAGGGGAAAAGGTGTTAAACTTACCTTTTTCCAGCGCTGGGCGGAGAGCTCTCCTCCCCGTCGGCTGAATGCGCACGCGCGGCAAGAGCTGCGCGCTCATTCAGCCGGTCACATAGGAAAGCATTCATAATGCTTTCCTATGGACGCTGGCGTGCTCTCTCTGTGAAAATCACAGTGAGAAGCACGCAAGCGCCTCTAGTGGCTGTCAATCAGACAGCCACTAGAGGGTTAGGGGGAAGGCTTAACCCATTCATAAACATAGCAGTTTCTCTGAAACTATGTTTATGAAAAAATGGGTTAACCCTAGCTGGACTTGGCACCCAGACCACTTCATTAAGCTGAAGTGGTCTGGGTGCCTAGAGTGGTCCTTTAAGCCAGCCTTCATCCTTAGCTGTTACTGTCTGAGATCTATAGAAATGGACAATTACATTCGCCCAATACATAAATCTTATATTAGGAAAATTCAGTCCCCCATCTTTTGTTTTCAAGGATAAAGTATTTCTACAAATTCTATTTTTTTTTCCTTTTATTAATAAAGTTTTCCAAGATATTTTGCAATATTGTTAACCAGCTATCAGGCATTTTGAGAGGTAACATTTGGAATAAGTAATTCCATTTAGGGATAATATAAGAATTAATAACATTAATGCGACCTGCCCAAGTAATCTGTATATTTCGCCAAGTTGTAATGGACATTTTCTGAGCAGTAATTAACCCCTTAATTTCCAGACATTAGACAAATTCTTTTGTATCTTAAAACGTGTGGCATGTTCAACTATGTTGTTGTCCAGCTAAAGACTTTTAAATATACGTGACTAGTGGCATTGTATGTTTCTTAATAACCTGCTTTATTCAGCCGTTCATCTCCTCTGCCCCTTGTTACTAACTCCTGAGAAGACCGGTTTGGCTTAATTGTAGGCAAATAATGACTTGCCTTCACACAGAAAAATGAGATGGAGAATGTTCTTCAAAAGAGGGTTGGGCAATTGGAATTGTATTTCAACAACATCATGAAGGCTGCAGGTTTGCCAGCCTTGCTTTGAATCGTACTTTACCATTATTACTCCTCCTTTGTTTTTCTTTTTCAGTGGATTTTAAAAAAAATAAAATAAAATGTCCTTACCTCAAAATGTATTCTATCAGTGCAACTATTGCAGAATATGCCTATAATGGAATAGGTATATTCTGCAATAGTATATATTTTCCAATTTTTATTTAACACATAAAAACGAAATCTTGTGGTCTGTTTTCCACGATGAACGACTGGGTATCATGTAAAATTAAAGGGACACTATAGTTACCAAAACAACAGCTTAATGTAGTTGTTCTGGTAAGTATATTCCTTCCCTGCAGGCATTTCCATGTAAACACTGCCTTTTCAGTGTGTAAAATCTGTAATTGTTTTTCTCCTTTGTGCATATTGTTATACCATGCCTTCTGTCCTTATCCCAGCTGCTGTATGCATCCAATTAAAAGGGACCCTCCGTGCACCATCTAAACCTATGGCATAAGAAGACCAGCTTGCACAAAGTTATGTATAGCTGCAGTAATTGTGAAAAAAATACTGTTGCTGTAAGCCCACTTACTAAACAACACATGCCTCAAGAGGAATATATACTTACTCCCCTGCTCAGCCAAATATTTACGCGGCGTATGAATGCAATTCAAATAGAATTCTCATTACAGACTTCTTTAACATTTACGGTTACGAAGCCTAAGCTAAGCCGGTTAACATTGAAAAGCCTGCAGGGAATGGCTATAGAAACCAGAACCACTACATTATACTGTTAACTATAATGTCCCTTTAACATATAGGATGTACGCAAATGAAATCTGAAAATAAAATGTCACTTATAGATTTGTTTAACCGTTTAAAGACCAAGGATCTCTTGAGATGCAATGATATTGTGACCAATAAGGTTTTGCCATAAGTTCATCCATTCTGTTTAAGTGCGCCCATAAATTAGAGATCTGCACTGCGTGACGGCATAGGCAGTCATGTTTTCCTTAAGGGGTTAATATTAATAAGTTGAACTGTAGGACCGTCAGAATGCAGCTCGGGTCCCATGGCCAGTCTTTGTCAGGACAGTTACCCAAAACTATGGATTGTCCCAGGAACTAAAGTTGTACTGACAACCTTTTATTGTGAGTAATATCAGATCTGTGCATATTTTTATAAAGTACGCAAGGAATAAAACAAATATTTCCCATAAGCGACAAAGTTTTGTTTGCAGTTGTGTTCAAACTGCTTGGGAGCACACTACACTGTCTGCCTACAGAGAGACTCTTCTAGTTAAAGGAGGAAGAACAGATACAGAAAGACTGGCAAAATTACATAAAGGAAAAGCAGCATAAGACCTTTTCAAACCGCAGGGAGAGAAACATGTCTGTGCAGATACAGTTCAAAACAGCTGAATTTATCATTACTGTGACCAGCGTGGTTATATTTACTTCCTAAATGGTAATTTGTTTAGTTATTTAAAATGCCCCCAGGACCAGTGATAGGTCCTAATTGTTACAGTCCAGACACATCATTGGTCCTACACTGGCCAAGTATACATTTTACAAATGAACCATTCTTTCTACACAAAGCATCAAATATTTTAATAGTGTATTGATGTTTGTTATACATTAATATATAGAATAATAATCTTTTGTCATAGTTGGCATATTTAGGGTTAATGCTGGTGTTTATATTGTAATACCACAAACATTTGAATACTTGGCAGGAAGCTTTCGTGGCTGTAAATATTGTTCATGGGATGTGGCTTTTACCACAGGTAGTATGAGTATTTTTTTATTTAATTTTTTTGTTATTTTTCTTTCTATACCTCAGAACTTTGCACAATACCACCTATCTTGGTGGATTTAATCTTAGTCAGGTGTATTGCGTTTCATAATTACCAGTATTTAATTTAACACAATGTTGGCTAATAGATATGTATAGATAGTATGTTGAAGTGTACTCTGTGAAGAGCTTTTCCCTCCTTGGTGTCTGTAAGACGTTTCTTACAAGCCCAGACATGTTTTCTTATATATTCACTAAATGGCCAGTTGATAAATTTCAGTTGGTAAAGCTTATTTTGCAATTCCAATTCTGTCCTACATTTTGAAGTGTTTACATTCCTGCTTACCGTTAAGGTATACCAGTCATGCTGGAATAACTCTCACTGTTATGTCTTTTTCATAAAGATAGATATTTCCGGTGAAGGCATACATAAAATAACACTCTGGGCAGCAAAAATTGAAGTGTGTGTCATTTTGTCCTCCTATTAATGCAAAGTTTTGTTCACATTCAAATGTGATTTGAAAAAAATAAAATGTTTTCTTGCTTTATACATTGACACTATGACTATGCCCTTAGCCATACCCTCTCTTTTCACAAAGCAACTTTCTCATTAGATAATTTCAGAGTATGTACGTAATCAATGAGAAAACCGTTTGAGCTGAGTTGATGACATCACTGCCCTACAGCTAATTATAGGAGGATACTAATTGGCTGTGGGGCAGAATCAAGTCTGCGGCTGTTATTATTCATTGGGTTATCCGGCTCAAAGCTTTAACATTATCTGCCTTAGCCATACACCTCCAGTTGGGTTCAGGCTGTAGGTGGCCAGCAACCCTTATTTAAAGGGACACTCCACTGCCCAAATACAAAATACAAATCACTGTTTAGTGATATACCCCAAATGAAAACCATCATGCATTTATTTATGAATTGGAGTTGAATCTAGACAGCTTGCAAAAACTACAGATCTCTTGTCTGCAGCATTTGCAAATCCTCCTCTTCTAATCCCGCCCAGACTTTCTGTGACGGTTCAGTCAAAGACTTCCCAATGCAGCTCAACGAGAAGTCTTTGCAAGGCAGGTGCTCTGGGCAATTGCTGCCTCTTGAGTTCAGTGCATCTCAGATAACCAAACCAGGAAGTAACTGGATCTGTTTGAAAAGCCAGCGGGGTGTAACATGTATAATTTATAAATGTGTAACTTTCTATTGAAATCTGCACATTTTGCAAAATTAAAAAAAAAAAAAATAGAACACACAAAAAAAGAGAACACATTCTTAACACAGAAAGCTTTTCAGCAAGCTAAAGTGCTTTACGGGTCTGGAGTGTCCCATTAAAGGGATAATCTAGGGCTAGGAATACAAAGTTGTATTCCTAACACTATACTTCCCTCTGCCCTCCCCCCTCGCACAGCTAGCCAAACTAAAAAACAAATCTCCCCTCTACCTGTCTGTCCTTCAATGAAGTCAGATAAGTACAGGTACTTTTTTTTTTTTTCCCCCTCTTTCTTCTGGCAGGTGGCATGCTATGTCAGGGGGGAACTCTGGTGCCAACCACTGTTTTTGGCTTGTGGAGAGCAGTGAACCTTGGAAAAAAAATCCCTGATCTATGGTGGAAAGCATACGACTGTCGCAAGTTCCATTAATGCTGTAGGAAATGGGCTGCGTTGACAGGAAGCAAGGAGAAGAAACATTTGGAAAGAGCTGCAATACTCCATCGTGAATATGATGAACTTGCGCGGAGACGATCTCACTGCTTGGTGGCAAAATTTGAATTTGGCTTCTGTTAAAGCACTTCTGTTGCCAAATTGAAGTGTGCTGCTCTACCTGCCCCAGATGCTGCTTTCAGCTTGGATTTTGGGTTAATGAAAAGTGTTTTCTCTCCTTTACTACTGTGAGGGTTTGCACTTCTGGCATATAACATTTATTGCAGTTTTTAATATTGGCTATTTTCTGTTCTGGAAAAAGTTCTTTACATGCATGGATACAACAACCGCAGCTCTCAAATTCTATCCTACTTATAACATTTCAAGTCTGCATATATCCTGTTTTTTTTTTTTTTTTAAATGTGTACTGTGAGGGGTTTCCTGAGGATATTGAGTTCATGCTTTTCTTTCTCTTAATTGCTGAATACTGCCCAAATAAACCACTATCACTGCACTGAGTTTGGCTAAATCCCATTGTTCAATTTTTTTTTTCTTGTTTTTATTTTAATTTGCTCATTTAAAAGTGATTCATTCATTGGAATTAAAACCCTTTAGTTATTCTAATTGTGCTTTGATTCTGCAAACGAGCATGTTGCTAATGTACGATTTTATTTTTATATAGATCTGTGAGCAGTTTTTGTGTAACGTGTTTTTTTTTTTTTTGATAACTTAGTTTCACAATTTGAATGGAACTCTGCTTATGCTCTGCCAATTAACAGAGCTCTTGAGCTGTTGTAGTAAGTGTCCCCCTCCAATGTAAGTGGTCAAATTGTTATGTAATGGTCGGCCTTATGCTGCTCCCAGCCTGTCTGCAGATGGGCGTGAGAGCTGGAGCTTCTGTTAGCTCTCCTGAGCTAAGCTTTAGGGGCAGCAGACCACTCTTAGCCAATGAGGTAAGACCTGCCCCACTGCGGCAGACAGTGGATGCACTCTGTAAATCCTCTTCTATGAGAAGCATTCTTTGGCATCCTCTTGCTGTGCACGAGAACACTGAATGTGAAGGCTTACTTATTTTTCCAGTATTTTTCAGTCACTTGAGAAGTGTTCTTTAACAAATGTAACCATTGCTCTTTTCCGAAATTTGTGTTTTACATTGCAAAGTAAGAAGACAGACGCTATACACCAAATCAACTACATTAAGATGTTGTTTAAAAGTGGTTTGTCAGCTTACCTGGTGTTAGATGTTCACCACCTGTGGTGGACCGCCAGTATATTGCTGCCACAGATTTCCTTTCCCAAAGTGAAGTACCGTAGGTCTATAGTCCATGAGCATAAATATCGCTGGCACAGCCTTTCCTCCACACATTAGTCGAGACTGGATGCTGGGTGTAGATCAGTTTTAATTCAGGCAAGCACTCTCAATTTATACATACAGTAAACTCCTCCCTGTGCTTGAGAGATAGTTGAGTCAGGAAAATTACAACTCCATTATCTCCCAGGCACAGAAAAATATAAAAAATTAACACCCCAAAAGTACCCCCTAAAATCCATGGAAACCCCTCGAGACTCACATCCCCAGATAGCCCTGATCTGAGTGCTTAACATATCCAAAAAGCACTCGGATCGGTTCAGTGGCATGGAATTTCCATCGAGGTACAGTTTTGACCGGCCGGCCACAAGGTGGAAACCCCAAAATAGTTCCAGTGAAATCGTGGCCCGTCTCAGTTCAAGAGTTTTTATATGAAAGCCATGTACAATGCTCCCCTCAGTCGGTCGTTTTATATCTCCCAAACATCGTTCGTATAGATCAAGCATGTCAAATTCAAAGGCTAGCACAGGACAAATAAATTTTCATAGAAACGTAGGTTTGTTTTAAAAAGTACAGTATAGAAAAACAAAACTGCATCCCCCTTGACAAATTTGCTTGAAAATCTAGGAGCCAGCAAAAAAAAGTTAGGAGCCAGGTTTTTCAATGCTATGCCAATTAACAACAGCTCCAGAGCTGTTGTAGTAATTGTCCCCGTCCAGTGTAAGTGGTCAAATTGTTACAGCTTAATGGAGTTGTTCTCGTGTCTATAACCTGTCCCTCCACAATTTTCAATGTAAACACTGCCTTTACAGAGAAAAAGCAGTATTTACATTGTTGTATAGTAACACTTCTAGTGAAAGTCACTCTAGAATGCATCCTGAGTCAGTGCTGCACAGTACGCAGCACCTACATTTAGTGTCTCTACGCTCTGTATGAAGGCGCTGAATGTTCCCCATAGAGATGCATTAATGCAATGCATCTCTATGAGGAGTTGCTGATTGGTGCAGCATGGCGTTTTGACACACATCCGCAATAGCCTCCCAATGCTTTCCTACGGGAAAGCATTGGATTGCCTGAGATCATTAAGATTGATGATCGCAGTCATGGAGGAAGAGCCAGCTGCGGTGAGAACAGCACAGCGTGGGGGGAAAAGTGATTAAAAACCAAAAAACCCTTACCCATGTGAATGGAGGGGGACCGGTCACACACACTTGTTCACTAACACACTCACTGACACACACACACTTTCACTGCAATAACACCACCACCCAGCATCCCTAGCTGGAGTGGTTTGGCTTTCTCTGGGGTCCAGTGGGTCTTCAGTCATCTCACTGCTCTGCTCAGTTGAGTGCTGTTTAGTGATACGGGGCCAGAATTACGTCATATTCTGGCATGACTTCAGGACGCGCGAGAGAGCAGGGAGGTTGCAGCTCCCTTGTGCACCTGCCTGTCTGCCTTAATCCTCCAGGAGCCTCCCGTGGGCACATCCCACCCTCTTTACATTAGCTGGCCAGCCGACCGACCGCACATGCCTTCCCTTTAGCTGGCCAGCCGACCGACCGCACATGCCTTCCCTTTAGCTGGCCAGCCGACCGACCGCACATGCCTTCCCTTTAGCTGGCCAGCCGACCGACCGCACATGCCTTCCCTTTAGCTGGCCAGCCGACCGACCGCACATGCCTTCCCTTTAGCTGGCCAGCCGACCGACCGCACATGCCTTCCCTTTAGCTGGCCAGCCGACCGACCGCACATGCCTCGGTATTACTCTCTGACAGACACACACACTTGCTCTCTGACACACACCCCACCACCACCACCTCTGTTATTTCTCCACCTCCTTGGCTGAGTTCATCAGAATTGATGAGCTCAGCCATTCCAACTCTTTATGGGAAAGCACAGAGAGGCTAATGTGCACATGCTGTAAAATGCTGCACTGGCCAATCAGCATCTCATTATAGAGGTGCATTGCATCAATGCTTGTCTATAGGGATAGTTGCAGGGACATGCTATTTTCACCAGAACTACATTTAGCTGACAATAATTACTTGATTGTTTTTACAGTGAGGAACCAGTTAGACTACACATATTCCAGATCAAAATTTTTCTATCTATTTTACATACATAAAAAGTAGTGTGACTGTCACTTTTCTGGAAGTGACCTTTCCTCAATACCTTGTCACAGAAAAATAAGCATTTACTGTGGTGAAAATAGCATCATAAATAAAGGGGGGAAAAAGGCATTTCTTCTATCATGATGTATATCTGTGTGGCACTGCTGGGGTTAAATTCTTTACAGGCATGTGCCTAGCACATCTAGACTTTCACTACCAAACCATAAGCGCATCCCAAAGATTGCTTTTAGTTAAAGGGATGCTATAGTCACCCAAACAACTTTAGCGTAATTTAGTGGCTTTGGTGTGTAGATCGTGCATCTGCAGGTTCACTGCTCAATTCTCTGCCATTTGTGAGTTAAATCACTCAGCTTTTCTGAGAAGAAGAGTGTGGAAGTGAATCTTGCTGACCGCTGCAGAAGGATTTGACTTTGGGTGCCAAGGAGAGTTCTGAATTTTGACAGAAAAAGTTTGTGGGGATGACACCCAAAGATTCTTTGAACTATAGCAGCAACAATGGGTCGTATTAGTTATGATGCATATAGTGTGTCCATCTTTTGTGGTGTCAAATAATTTTGCAGATGATTTTGAAGTGTCTTCACAATTTAGAAAACTGTTTACTACTTTACACACTCCTAGACTTTTTTATTTAATGTGAACCTGAATTATGTTTTTAATTTAAAGTTTTGTATTATTTGTGGCTTTTTTTCATTGTGTATTCCTAACACTATAGTGCCCTAGTCACTGTTTAGGTGAGCAGGCCAACGCTGCCAGTGTTCAAAAAAATTTGATTTTACTTATGTTTTCTCTTGCAGTGCTGGTTGAGAATATCAATGTTGATAAACTCAACCTATCCATTTCTTTCCTATAGGAAAGCTTTGGAAGGCTCGTGCAAATGCGCGTTAAAACGCAGCACTGCGAAAATCAAATGGTCTTTCTAAGACCATCTGATTGTGTTGGTTTCTTTCTTTGCTTTTTCCCTGCAGTGCATTTAGTGCACTATAACCACTATTAGAGACAGACTAACCCTGCAAAGAAAGCCAAGCTGTTCCTTCAACACAGCAATATTTTAATTTGCCAGGTTATAAAGGGGGCACATGGCATCCAGACCACTTCACTGAAATTTACAGTAGGTAAAACCCTAAAAATTAAACACGTTTTTGTCTCTATTTATATTCGTTGCATATAATTGAAACAAACTGGATGTCCTCAATGATATTTTGTTCTTTGAATTTTTCAGGTGGTATCATGGCAAGCTGGATAGGACTATTGCTGAAGAGCGCCTTTATCAAGCCGTCAGGACTGGAAGCTATCTTATTAGAGAAAGTGATCGTAGGCCGGGCTCATTTGTGCTATCCTTCCTTAGTAAAACCAACGCTGTTACCCATTTTAGGTAAGCAACAGGTACATGTGAGGCCTTTAGTTATCTGTTTCTTACCTGTCCATCTTTATATCATCCTAACTACAAATGTATCCAAATGGTACCTTAAATAGCACCACCATTTTTTTATTTATTTTTTATTCTCTCGCTTTTTTTTTTTTTTTTTTATATCTTTATTACCAGATTTTATGGCTTTTTTATGGCTATTTAACTAGAACATATTTTACACATTGCATATAAAGTTTTTGTTACATGAACACTCCATGTGGGTGGTTGCCTTTTGGGGGGGAGGAGGGAGAAAGTTAGATTGCTTTAGCTACAGGAACAGTTTTTGCAGATACTGTTAGACCTCTTCTTTTTGTCCATTGCAGACTTTGTGCTGGATATTGTCCACTCAGACATCTCATTGAAAAGTCTTGCAGATAGACCATGTATGCAGTTGACATGCCAACCATGTACTTCTCAGCGAGCTGCATTGTGGAGTGTATGAACTAAAAGATTGATGTAACACCTCAACTGCACTTTGAGCAGGACACTGACACTAACTAGTTAATTTCTATTGAAACCTGCTCTTTTCGTAAATTTAAAAAAAAGGACACACTCAAACATAATGCTGTTCAGCAAACTAATGTGATTTAGAGGAGGGAGTGTTTATTTAAGAACTGTGGACACAGTTGAAATGACCAGTAGTCTAATTTTCATTTACAGTATTTGACTTCATATTTATAGAGCCATGCCCTTTTCTGTGTCATTGTTTTGTTCAGTGTGCATAAACTTACAATATACATTATGTTGAAAGCTAGAAAATCCTAATTTGTGAAATGCTTGTTTCTGTAGGATAATAGCAATGTGTGGGGACTTTTACATCGGAGGGCGACGATTTTCCTCACTGTCAGACCTTATAGGATACTATAGTCATGTGTCATGTTTGCTAAAAGAAGAGAAGCTTCTTTTTCCTGTTGCACCTCCAGAGGTAAGTAGTATTTATTATGTAGAAAAATAAATTGAATAATGCTTGATTTGAATGCTGTCTAGACCAGATAGAATGTGGAATATGATACAATTTAAATTTTTGAAATAAGTTATAAAGTGTAAATAAGCCAGGGAACATTTGTCATGTGTTGAGTTGCCTTAGCCAATTGTGACTTAAGCCCAGACCAGAGACGACTCTTTAACAGGATTAGGTAGTTGTGTCCACACTGCATTACGTTCATTAAAGGACCAAAACTGACAGCAACACAGCTTAATTGTGTTTGATAGGGTTTGGCTTCACTGTTTATTTTTGTAAAACATATTTTTAAATTTATATATATATATATAAAAGTAGGGACTACTATCCTTTTTGCATAAGTTAAGTGGACAAAACTTGCCAATGTTCAGCGCTTAAATTTTCACTTCTCATTTTTCAAAAGTTTTTAATCAGCAAGATATAAGAATAGAAGGAATGAAAACCAAAAGGGGAAAATACAGCACTGTTTTAAGTTGTTTTTGTGCTTGGCGTGTCTATTTGTGTTTTCAGACATGTGAATCATCTTCTGTATTTGTGTTCGTTATTGATTGTACATAAGCCAGCAGCTAATAATCTTCCAATATGTTGCTAAACTATGTTTATTCTCCATGAGCCTTTGGGTAGCCAGGGCATAGCTGCAGATCATTTAGTTATATTTCATTATATGTGGCATGTTTCTGCCTTCCATCATAGAATATCAAATCTGTGTGTGCAGCGTTTCTGCTTGGAACACTGCACATACAGATATTACAGAGATATTGGAACTTTTGTGGCGGAGCTAGCTGCTACCCTTTGCACTTACGACTTAGGCAGCCAAGCTATATGTGAATGACCCATCAGATGGCGATAGGATATTAACGCTCACTGAGTTTTTTTCTTATAAGAGCTCACTGATATGGGTTCAAGTCATTAAAAGCAATGAGTAATTGGTTACATACTTGGCAATTCACAAATTTCACTTTATCAATCCCTATAGGATATTTAAAAAGCATATCTAGCACTATCCTCTTATGAAGCATCATAGCCACCATTGTACAATAATTAGTACAGCACAATGGTTTGCTCTTTAAATGTTACTTTCAATTGTTAATTTCATGCATAAAATGTTTGATTTAAGATTGCATTTGCTTCTTTTAGCCTGTGGAAGACAGACGGAGAGTTCGAGCCATTCTTCCTTACACTAAAGTGCCAGATACAGATGAAATTAGGTAATGTTTGACGAGGCCATATGTTATATGTAGAAAGTTAGTGATTACCTTTAAAAAATTAAATGTCTTTCTTTCTTTATATTTTCTGTTAATTTGCACAAATTTATTGTAGCTATTCCATGTTTTATTTTATTGGACTGAGCCAAACGAGTGGATTTTATAGCTATTACTGTATATCCGTGTTTAAAGGAACACTATAGTGTCAGGAATTATTATTATTATTGTTATTTATATAGCGCCATCAAATTCCGCAGCGCTGTACAACGGGTGGACTAACAAACATGTAGTTGTAACCAGACAAGTTGGACACACAGGAACAGAGGGGTTGAGGGCCCTGCTCAGTGAGCTTACATGCTAGAGGGAGTGGGGTAAAGTGACACAAAAAGGTAAGGATAATGTTAGACTAGTGACAGTTGCAGAAGAGGAATCAGTCGGGAGCTATTCCAACATGTATTCCTGACACTACAGTGGTAAAAGCTCTGGTTAGGTGTCTAGCCACTGTTGCCTGCCTTTAATTTGCTCACCTTATTTTCAGCTCTGCACAGGCTGTCACTCGCGCCACTCCACCTCCTTGGCTGAAATAATCAATTTTGACGATCACAGCCAATGGAAGGCTATTTAGCATGCGTGGCAAAATATAGCACTGCACCAATCAGTATCTCCTCATAAAGATGCATTGAATCAATGGATTTCTATGCTTCTCCATGTAGAGTGGAGACGCTTGACGTGATTAAGTAAGAACCTCTAGTGGCTGAGTGACTGCCACTTGAGGTGTTTCTAGGCACTAATGTAAACACAGTGTTTAAATTAAAAAGCATGCAGGGACAGGCTGTAGACACTAGGGAATCGACCGATATTGATTTTTTAGAGCCGATACCGATATTCTGTGAACTTTCAGGCCGATAGCCGATATAATTTGCCGATATTCTGTACATTTTCCATTTTGGAAAATAAAAACTATTTCTAAAGGTAAATGCACAAAATATACATGCCACGTGTAGTGGATGCAGTGTGTTTAGACAGGGGAGCTGTTTGTGTAGTGGATGCAGTGTGTAGTTTGTGTAGTGGATGCAGTGTGTAGTTTGTGTAGTGGATGCAGTGTGTAGTTTGTGTAGTGGATGCAGTGTGTGTTTGTGTAGTGTGTGTTGTGGATGCAGTGTGTATATAATGAAAGCAGAGTGTATAGTGTGTGGTAGTGGGCTTGTAAAGAGTCTGGTGGTCCTAGGAGGTATTATCGGCAATATCGGTATCTGAATTGGCCGATACCGATATTGTCGAAAATACCAAATATCGGCCGATTATATCAGTAAAACCGATAATCGGTCGATCCCTAGTAGACACCAACTACATCAACCTACAGTTGTTCTGGTAACTATAGTGTCCCTTTAAAAAAAATAAAAAAATAAATGAATGCTTGATTACATTTAGAAAGACAAAATGCACTGTAAATAAAGATGTTTTATCCTGATGTATTCACAGAAGCAGTAACTTTTGGAGTTATGCATTTCTAATTCTGCAGATAGGATACTCACTGGATGTATCTGCTTCTTCCCTTAGATTTATTAGTTCCGTGGTAATTTAATAATATCATAGTGCTGATTTCAGCCTAAACTGCAACACATATTTGACCATCAGTAAATACATTCTTCTTTTTATACTCCTTTAAAAGCAGTTACTTTTTCCATGGCAAAGCAGTTCATGAAAACAAAACATACAAAATAGCAGTCCCATGTGGTGCAGCAAAACAAAAAAAAAAATTAAATAGCTGAATGTTAGAATAACTGCTCATCAAGCAACTTTGGCCAGAAGGGTGCATCAACCATGCACCAGGGAAGAAAAAACATAGACTGAGGATAATTTATATTATTTGGGGTGGATTTATTAAAAATTCTAATGAAATTATATTTTTGGCATAAAACAAATATATTTCCCTGACGTTAAAGTAAAACCTATCAGGAGGTTTTTTTGTTTTGTTTTTTCACTTTCTCTATTGCAATTTAAAAAACATCCTTAATTGTCTCCCTGCAGTTTCTTAAAAGGAGATATGTTTATTGTCCATAATGAATTAGAAGATGGATGGATGTGGGCCACCAATCTACGTACAAACGAACAGGGTCTTATTGTTGAAGACTTGGTTAAGGAAGTGGTCAGTAAATATTTCCTTTGTGTTGTATGGTGTGTTTTTTTTTTTTTTCTTGTTTTCTTGAAAGCTGTTTCTTTTACACGTGGAAATGTGATCAGTGCAGGTTGAGAAACTGCATGTGACATGTGGAATACTCTGAGAGCACCAGTGTATTCAGCAGATATTGTTCCTGTAATGAGAGATTCTAGTTTTCACATGAATGTGACTGGAGAGACCTGTTTAAGATCTCTTCCATGGACCTGAAGCAACATGTCTTACAGTGGGAACAATGAGCATCTGTTGCTGATTGGATCACTCTGTTTAGTTCGGGATTGATTAGACTGGTAATGTTAAAAAACCGTTATGGGTGCATCCTTCTAATAAAAACAAAAAACAAAACTTGGTTTTACAGTTTAGCTGTGTTTTGAAAATTACATCTGCCGCAATTCCTGGGTTTTCATTTCTACATTATTCCACAGCTCATCTTGTTGCAAATAATGTGTATAAGGAATAATCTTAATCCAATGTTTAGCTACTAAACACCTAATTTACCCCAGTACTAAATGTAACCCACCTCTAGTCCAAACTAATCCTAAAACACCCAGTGTAACCAAATTCTAAATAAACCCCACTCTAACCCTGAACCCAATAATCTAAACATCCCTTATACTATAACTTTATTTATAACGTAAACGTCTCTCAAGCTTTAAATCCTCTTAACACTAAATGCACTCTATGCAATCTTCTAGCACAATATATTACCCGCAGAAATATACACATACGTCTATTTATACATATGCAGTTGTCGAAAATAAGTTTTGTGTTTTTTTTTGCTTGCAGATTGTATTATGCCTGCAGTGGCAATTTAATAATTTAATTATACTTATTTCATCTGCCCTTTTTGGTTTTGTGAGCAGGTAACGTTTTAGAATGTTGTGCCTAATGGAACCTAACATGTACATTTAGCAGTGTTGGGGATCTCTGGCAATTGTGCCATTCTTGTTTACACTTTCTAGGTGCAGTCTCAAGTCAAAGTACTAGTCAATGAAAGAAGCACTTAAGGACATTAGTACAACTTATAGGGCTGCATGCACATTGTTTCAACATTTCAGTCCATTTTCTCTGGTTTATCAAGAAATCCCTGAGTTGAACTTCTATGTCTTGCCCAAGATATGAATTTAAAGCTTCTTCTATACATTATGTACATTCCTATACATGCTTATCACTCATCTGACTTCACTAACTTCCCTTCTCTGCTGGAAGGTGATCTTGGTTCCATAGACTGATTAAAAAATACCTCCACAACTCTGCATCTTCCTCCTACTTAAAGGGACACTTCAGACCCCTAAATCACTTTAGCTTGCTGAAATGCTTTGTGTGAAGAGTGTGTCCTCTTTACAATGTTCAGATTTAAATAGAAATGAGACCAACATAAATTAACCTGGTTACTTCCTGGTCATTTAGCCCAGTGGAGCTAAACGCCAGAGGCAGCAATTGCCCAGTGCACCTGCCTTGCAGAGACTTGACTCATTGAGCTGCATTGTAATGTTTGTGATTGTAAAGCCGCAGAAAGTCTCAGTGGGTTTAGAATGGAAACTTGCAAAAGGCAGCAGAGAAGAGACTGTAGTTTTTGCTGGCTGTTTTTAGATAAACATGCCTAAATGTGCCTGTTTTCATTTGGGATATATTTTGATCTTTATTTTTTTTGGTATTTGGGCAGTGGAATGTCTCTTTAAAGCTGTCTAAGTCTCAGCAAAGTTTTTCTCGTGTTGCCCCATAATTTGGAACACCATGCAAAGGCTATTGTAGCCTCCCTTACTATGTTTTCATAACTCATCCCATGCGTTTAAAGCATATTCTATAAACACCAGCTCTCATTTTTCAAATCTACATCTGACCAATACAATTTCTGTTACTCAGTCTGGTGGTGGTGTTCATTTTCACCTTTGTTTTATCAATATGTATCTGTCTGTTTAATTTATGTCAAACTGTCAAAATAATATAATATAGGTTTATAGAGCAGTCGTTCGCATGTGGCTGTCTAGTTTCCCTTAGTCAGTGGTTGCAGCTTATTTTGGCTTACAGAGCACTTGCATACATCTCATCTGATACATGGAAGTGCTATTAATTGAACTATCTGTCCCATAATCCTGCTCTACTGAGGTTCAGGAGACACACTAGTAATGCCAGAATCCTAATAGGCTGAGCCACTTCTGGGTTTTAACCCCTTAAGGACATGTGACATGTCATGATTCCCTTTTATTCCAGAAGTTTGGCCCTTAAGGGGTTAAGTGAGCTCACCACAGAAGCTGCAAAACCTGGTTATGTTCAGGGAATCTGAAATGCTTATCCTTCTTTATTTAGTTTTGTATTTTTTTTTAAACTTTGTTTCTATGTAATGCTTTAAAAACAAGGTCACCATTAATATATCCTGGGCTGCAAATTTAAACATGAATATAGAATAAAGTTTTTTTCTGAATCTTTACAATATGTTTTTCCTTCATTTTAATTTCCATTTTTATTTTACAGGGGAGGGAGGAAGATCCTCATGAAGGCAAGATGTAAGTATATGTCTAAACCATTCTGAAATTCTTCTAACCTCATCCTGCATTCTGTCTTTGTAGCTCACAGCAAAACCCATATCCATTACAACTTCCTGCCCCAATTGCTCCCTTTTAGTCCCAGATTATATTTGTCCTTTGTTAAAGGGGTGTTTGACCTTTAACATGGAGCTATTATTCAGTCTGCTTGGCTTCAGCTTTCTGCTCAAGGGGAAACCTGTTTTGCATTCTCTTTGATGTGGAAGAATTAGTTAGTAAATCTGTCAAGTTGTTTATTTAAAATTTTGTCCAGTATTTTAAAAATATCTCTAAAAAAACTCTCCATGAAATACAGCTTTTAAATATTCTTACATGAAATGATTGCATCTAAGCACTTTTTTTGTGAGTGGACGAAATATTTGGGAAATTTGGAAACCACATTTTTACGTTTGCATCAGTAAATATATATGGCATGACTTGCTTACTGAGGTAATGTAAGGTTTACATTCATGTTCCCCACACCTTTCTGTTTATCACTATAGGCACCTCACCACTTCATCTCATTGAAGTGGTCTGGGTGAAGTGCCTCTGTCCGTTAAACCCTGCATTGTACAACATTGCAGTTTTTGAGATCTGCATTGTTTACATTGCCGGGCTAAGACATCCTCTAATGGCAGTCTTCCAGACAGTTACTGGAGGAGCTTCCTGCATTTTCAAAAAACTCTTTGAGGAAGTTGAGCGACTTCAAAATACCCAAAGGAAAGCATTGATTTAATTAAGTTACAAAGCACTTGTGATGCTTTCTGTACATGCACATTAGGTTCCTCCATCAGCGTGGTGCCGCTAGAGGAGATGATTGGAATGAGGTAAGTGAAAAAAAAAAATCACTTTACATGCTGGAGATGGAGTGAGGCTGAAGACATATGCAGAGACACCATGGCGTTAGGAATACTGTTTTGTATTCCTAATGCTATAGTATTCCTTTAAATGTAGTTGAATAGTTGGCAAGACTTGTTTTTATATTTGTGTACAGTGCAAGCAGGACATATCGCAGATCTATACTGTTGATACTTCTTGCATTTTTCAGAGTCTATTCCGTAAAGAATAGACTCTGTTCTCTAACAAATTGCCCTAATCAAGTACTTCATTGCAACTGCTGAATGCCTTGGAGATGCTAAGGCAATGCTTTCCCAAAGCATTGGGAGGATATTGTGCATGTGCAGCAAAACGCTGTGCTGCGCCAATCAGCATCTCCGAATAGGGATGCATTGAATCAATGCATCTCTAAAGGGAGCGTTCAGTGCCTCTATGCATAGCGTGGAGACTCTGAAGGTACCATCTAGTGGCCACCTGAGTGACGAACACTAGAGGTGTAACTAGGCAGCAATGTAAACACTGCTTTTTCTTACAAAAGGCAGTGTTTACATTGAAAAGCATGCCGGGACTGGCTATAGACACCAGAACAACTACATTAAGCTGTAGTTGTTCTGGTGACTATAGTGTCCTTTTAACCCCCTTAAGGACGGCGGGCATGCTATGCCGTCCTTGGGGACCCTGCTGTAAATGCCTGGGGGCGGCAAAGCACGTCCCCGCCGTCCATTCTACTTGCCCAGTCTCCAGCGAAACTACGCGGTGCATGGACTCACCTGGCAGTCCAGGGAGTCCCCCTTCATCCATTCCGGCCCCCCTGGGCCAGGTGACCGCGAGGTCCTTGAGTATAACAGTACCCCTCATGTACAGGTTTTATGGTGTTGTCAAAAATTACAGAGTCAACTATAAGGCTTGCGTTTCAGTTTTTTTCACATTCAAATTGGTTACGTTGCCTTTGAGACCGTATGGAAACCCAGGAATGGAAATTACCCCCATAATGGCATACCATTTGCAATAGTAGACGACCCAATGTATTGCAAATGGGGAATGTCCAGTCTTTTTTAGTAGCCACTTAGTCACAAACACTGGCCAAAATTGGCATTAAAATTAGTTTTTTGCATTTTTCATGCACAAATATTATTTGTATAATAAAATACATTTTATTTTGTATCCACTACCTCCTTTCCTTGGGTATTTGGATCAGGCAGGGCTATTCACTATAAGCCAAATTCGGTCCAAATATAACAATTTGGATAAAATGAAGTAAAAAGAATTTACATTTATTAACTTAATAGGATGCTTTGGACTTCTTCAAAGGGTTAGCACTTTCTCCCTAGTAGGTATGAAAATATTGCTAATGGCAGTTTTATCTTGTATTTACAGTTGTCTGCCTGCCAGTTTGTTCCAACTGAATTGTGGAAATTAGACAGCTGACAGCCCTGTGTAATTATTATATTTGAATGTGCAGTTGCTTATTTACATCCTTAACTTCTGTATTTCAGCCATTTGGTTGCATTTGGACAGATTGAAAATCAGTCTATGTGCAATCTCATTCAGAGCCTCACTTTGGCAATTGTAATTTTTTTTTTTAATTTTCTGCAAAGCAACAGAATAACATGTCTTTCTGACTCTTTTTAATTCTCGTTTGTTCATTTTTTCCTGCCTAATATTACGGATTTATCTTCTTTTGTGAATGCAATCCATAGTAAAATCACAAAAATAAAAGATTGAAGGATTATTATTTTTTTCAGGCTCTGGAGGAAAATGCGACACAAACAACAATATTATGGTGTGAAAATAGGCAGGCCATTTTTTAGACAAAACCTCGAAATTTTGGATTTTGCAGTCCTAAGGATTTCTGCTAATCTTGACCTGTGGCAATTTAATTTAAGTGAATAACTGGTGCATATGTGGAGATTTTCTCCATGTGGCTTTTTGCTAGTCACATGTGTAACCTTTATCATCCGTGAATTGGGACTCATAAGAGAGTTATCTACTGAGGTACCATGCAAACTGTGGGCCACAAACACAATTTTGGAAATCTACCGTCTAAAGAAGGATGCTACTGCTGTAGGGCAAATGTTGGATGTCACTGCTAGTACAATGTATTGCAAACTTTTGATGTGATTTTGAGGATATATGAAAACTATTCTGAGAGAGTGCTTCTGATCTCCCTAGTGTCATTTTTTAAATTAGTAGACAACACGACAACACTTTTTCTGTTCAGAAAAACAAATGTAAAAGCTTAGAGGTATATACAGCATTGTCACAAAAGCTCCATGATAAACATATTTTTACTGATTCTTATTTAAGAATCTCTTGTGAGTCTAAACCCTCCTTTTTAAAGTTTTTTAACTTTGTCTGCAAAAAGCATTTTAGCATGTCTGGTGATTCAACAACTTTTTTTTTTCTCAATCTATCATTTTCTCTACATTTGTAAAGATGGTTCCATGGAAAAATCTTCAAGCAAGAAGCTTACAACCTTCTCATGACAGGTAAATGTTAAAATGCAAGTTGTAATTTATTTTTTTTTGCCCCCCACATCTGCCACTTGAAACTTGGCTTTGAACCTTAACGCTAGATTATCTATTAGCTCAGTGAAGTGCTATGCATGTCTAGGTCCAACTGAAGAACTATCTTCATTTAGCTATGCCGTGTTGCTCATCTCTCTTAGAAGCATTATTTATGGAGAACCATTTGAATAAGCACACTCTTTTATTTGCCATGAGAAGAATTAATCTAATCGGAGTCATTATTGACCTCATTCATTCTTAATTACTGTTTTTTTTTTTTTATAGAAACCATTTTTTTATACTAATTTGACATTTCACTGAAGCAGAGTTGTCCGTCCTTTCCCATACTTTAAGCATGAACTGTCGAAAATGAACATAATTCTGTTTAGATCTGTATTTACAGTTTGCAGATGCAAAATCTCTCATTCTTTTGACCTCTAGGCCTTTGCGATATCTGTTTTAGTGCTTTGGCTATCTGTGTATGCAGAGCTTCCAGAATTATTTTTATTATATCTTGGCACGCAAATGTCTGGTCATCACACCCTTCGTGCACTTGTAAATTAGAATCAAATTGTTTTTCACCTCCTGCAAATTAGCAAAGACCTGTGAAGTTGATGTCAAAGGCTGCGAAAGAACTTCAGGAATACGCCCATTTCCTGCAAAAACATGCTTATAGCATGAACATTGGCACTATGGCTGTGAGAAATCAATAATTTATAGATGAGGGTGGGCAACGTCAGAGCTTGGCACAAACCCAGAATTCAGTCTGTAATTTGAACTCGTGCTCACACCCACCTGAATCAATTAGCTGGTTAATCTGGGAAGGAAATTGACTCAACTCTTACTCATGTATCATATGGTGACCCTTTAAATGTTAGGGAAAAAAATGCTTACCGCAGTTCAGTTGGTTCACAGACAATTCTTAAACAATTTCACCAATATTTTTCCTCTCTAATGTACAAATAAAACGAGTGCTCATCCAAAGGCTAATCTTTATATAACCACTATATTGAAGTAAAGTGTTTATATCCATGACTGCAAAGTAAGAGTCTGTTAGATAAGAGGAACATCAGAAGGAGTTCTGGACTCTTGACTCTTTGCCAGCAATGTGATAGATACTCAAAGTTGTGCTTCATTCACTAGAGAGAGGCCCAGCTACTCACTGGCTTATTCAGTTACACAGTTCACTACATTACATTAGTATTTTACATTGTCACTCTTTTTGATTGGTACTAGAAGGGGCATGTCTTACCTCTACTTTGCGAATGTAATGTACTGGAGCTACATAACAGGATGATTTGACGGGTAATTGTGCTTTTTTTAGTTGAGTGAAATGCAGAGCAGAGTGGCTGCATTCATAAAATTGCATCTTTACCCATGGATAAAGGTAAAAATGGGAGAGGCAAAATATATAGATGCTTTAATTTATGGTGCTTATAGCTACAGTATGTCTTGCAAATGCTTGATATTTTTACATCTGTGGATGTTTGTTTTCATTTTATATTGTTAAAAGAATATAAGATCAGAGGGCACACAATTTTTTTTGTGTCTGTCTATAGCTATCGATCTATATCTCATGGTGTCAGATTAATACAATTTATTTGCTCACAAGATCATAAAATAAAATAAAAAATCCAAATGCAGTTTAGTAGACAGTGACCCCTGCCCTAGTTGTAGAAATTATATTGTAACAACCAAGACTTAGCAATAGTAAACACCTTTTAACAATGTAACTTCTCTCTCAGTATCAAATTCTCTGGTAATGTCTGTTTTAATACAATTTACTTGCTCATAAGACCGTAATAATAGAATGTTAAAGAGGCACTGTCATGCCGAACTTACCTTTCCTCAATATCTTCCTCTTCTCCCCCTCTCTCAGGATCTGTTCTTCTTTTCTTCCTGTCTTCTTTAGTTTTCTTTAAAATCATAAGACAAAGTAGGGACTCTTTGCCTTATGGAGGTTTCCTCTGCTTGACAAGCTCTGACCAGCGGAGAAGCAAAGTGTGCTTCATTTGCGCTTGTCAGAGCATTTTTCCCGCTCAGGTTTTCAGTAGGTCAACCCCCCCGCCCCCACCCGTGGTGGGGGCGGGGGGGAGGACAGTAGGTCCGCGTCCCCCCCTCATTTTCATTATGGCCGCCACCCAGGGGTGGGGGCTGGGGGGGAGGACAGTAGGTCCCCCGCCGCCCCCCTCATCATTATGGCCCACACCCGCCGCCCAGGGGTGGGGGCCTGGGGGGGAGGACAGTAGGCCCCCCCCATTGTAATTTATGGCCCCCACCTGCCGCTCAGGGATGGGGGCTGGATAGTAGGGTTTTTTTTTTGTTTGTTTTTTTACAGTAAGCAGCCACAGGCTGCTCACTGTTTAGTAGACATGCCCCTACTCGCGGTATAGCTAGTAGGGGCATTGGGGAGATTTTAATCCCCCTTATGCTATTATGGGGGTCATATTGACCCCCATAGAGTGAGGGGGGACCTGGGGGGCTTAAGAAGTGGCGGGGAGCACTGCTCCCTGCTCCTTCTATAGTTACATATTACAAGGAGGGAGCTGCATGCCGGTAGCTCCCTCCTTGTAATAAACTGCATGAACAAACGAACACTGATACACAGTGTTTGTTTGTTCGTCTGACATTTCTATTCATTCATTCAGCCTTCTGATGAATGAATGAATAGATGAAATTCCCGTTCGCATGTCCAGGTGTTTCACTGGGCATGTGCGGGAATCTCACAGTCTATCTAGTGTGGGCAGATGACGTGTCCCACAGGGACTTCATCTACCCACACAAAGATGGCGGCGTCCTGAATATAGATCGGGGCATGAAATAAAGATGAAAAATAGGTAATTTGGGGGCTTAGGGGCATTTGGGGGGTGACGAAGGGGTCAATTAGAGATAGTGGAGGCGGGAGGGGGGTTAAAAAAAAAAAAAACGGGATTCAGCACGACAGTGCCGCTTTAAGTAGATATGCTAATGGTTTAAATATGTGTTCTGTATAGCAGTATTCTAGAAGACAGTATAACTCGCTTCAGAGACACAAGCTTAAGATTTGATTTGTGGATCCTGTTTTTACTTGGACGTTTGAGATTAGTAGGATCTCAATTGCATTTTGGCAGTCTGGGACAGACAGAATAGTTTATGTAGTATTGAATTTGATTTGTAAATTATGCTTCCTGTGATGAATACTCCTCCTGCATCTTAAATTGTACTGGAGTGGAGTTGAAACAATACCAAGGCCCAGAATGTCAAGTACTATTTATTAGACATGCCAAAAAGTTACTGGTCTATGGCAGATTCACTACTGGTAATTTTCTACTTTTCACTCAGCAGCAGCTAGTGGTAATTTTGAGCCACAATAGAACAGTTTTAAAAGTTGAAATATAAAATAACTTGTAAATGTTGACTTTGATTTTTAGTTGGTCAAATTAGCAGCTTTTTGGTGAGACCATCTGACAATACTCCTGGTGACTACTCACTCTATTTCCGTACCAATGAAAACATCCAGAGATTTAAGATCAGTCCAACACCAAACAATCAATTTGTGATGGGAGGTCGGTACTACAACAGGTAACCTCTATTACTATGTTATTAGTTGTCTTGATTATATAAACTTAAAGACCAAATTCAGTTAATGGATATAAGGCACAGTGTATCTTGTAGAATTTAAAACCTTCAAAAGCTTGGTAAATGGACACTACAGTCACCAGAACAGCTTTAGCCTAATGAAGCACTTTTGGTGTATATAGCATACACCTGGAGCCTCACTACAAATTAAATTACTTTGTTTATGCAGCCCTAGTCACACCTCATTTGCATGTGATTCACACAGACTTCCTAAATACTTCATGTGAAGTGAGAGCTATTGTTTACATTTCCTTTATTGCACCGTCTGTTTGATTTAGAAGTTATCTCCTGCACTGTTAATCGCTTGCAGGAGCGTCCTATATGTAAGTAAAGCTCAATTTACAGAACTGGAGATGAAAACTTCTGAAGTAAGTTACATCTGATAAAAAAATTCAACCATTTTTTTTTTCCACACAGACTGTGAATCAGAAAGGGGAGACGCAGATAGGTCCGAATAGACAGAAATAAAAGTGATTTAACTTCTGAATGACATAATTGAACAGTTAGACTTCAGAGGCATGATCTGTACACAGGCTGCTTCATTAAGCTAAAGTTGTTTTGGTGACTACAGTAGCCCTTTACGTTTCCAATAAACAGCATACCTGTCTGATCAATAAGACAAAAAAGCAGAAGTGTATTGTGTAATTTTGAGTAGCTAGAAGTAAAAATGCAAATTGCAGTGAATTAGCTTTATAATGGAAAGTACATGTGATTGAGGGCAGACTATGCTATGTATTACACATTTTAATTTATACAGGGGATTACAGCTATTTACTTTGGTATTTTTTTCTTAAATGAGGTATGATGTGTGAATCTTTTATTGCAACAATTAATTTAATTCAAGCAACAAAAAGTTTTAAATTGTCAGGATTACAGATTTACAATTTCAGTGATAAATTTCGCAAAAAGCAATTAAGCACTCCCTGGTTGTCTTCAAAACACGTTTTTAAGACACTCTTGGCTCCCGTTGACCAGTTTCAATGCAATACGAAGATAACATTGGATAAACTTTTTGATGTTCTTGCATTTGCTGTACCTTCTCAGGTTAGGTAGCATTTGCATTGAGCTCTCTCCAGACCATAAAGTGACTTGTGTTCCCTTTTTTAGATTTACTCAGCCGTATCCCGTTGTTCTTTGGTTTTTCTAAAAGTGACTTGTCCAGGCGCTCCCAACCCCTTAAGGACTGCGGACGTACTAGGTACATCCGACAAAACGGTCCTTAAGGTACATCCGCGACAAATATATTCCTTACCCGATCGGCGCCGTTGCTCCTGGTCTGGGGGGGCTGCCTGATAGCCCAGACAGATCCCTCTCGGCAAATTAGGCCCCCACGGACAATGTGATCACTCTGAAAGAGTGGTCACATGGCCTCAATAGGCGTCTCCCTGCATCTGTAAAATAAAAAATAAAATAAAAAAAGAGATTATACATATAGTCATGCGAAATGTTTTTTTATTAATATATACATATTAGAGTATGTATATATATAATTAAATATATTGTGTGTGTGTATATAGATATATATTTATTTTCAGAAATCTACACGTAGACTTCAAATATATAAATATGTATATATATATATATATTTAAATTCTATGTGCATATTTATGTAGTAATTTTGATTGCAATTTTAGGGACCTGCCTGACAACCCAGGCCAAAAGTCCAGAGAATTTAAATTTACTAGCACTGTATTTAACCCTGTAACTTTCCATGACACCCTAAAACCTGTACATTGGGGGTACTGTTTTACTCTGCATACATCGCTGAATACAAATATTTGTGTTTCAAAATAGTAAAACATATCACAGCGATGACATTGTCAGTGAAAGTGAAGTTTTTTGCATTTTTTTTACACACAAATCGCACTTTCACTGATGATATCATTGTTGTGCTACGTTTTACTGTTTTAAACCACTAATATTTGTGTTCAGCGAAGTCTCCCGAGTATAACACATGTACAGGTTGTATAGTGTTTTTGAAAGTTACAGGGTCAAATATAATGCTTGATTTTCCATTTCTTTCACATTGAAATTTGCCAGACTGGTTATGTTGCCTTTGAGAGCGTATGGTACTCCAGGAATGAGAATTACCCCCATGATGGCATACCATTTGCAAAAAAAGACAACCCAAGGTACTGCAAATGGGGTATATTCAGTCTTTTTTAGTAGCCACTTAGTCACAAACACTGGCCAAAGTTAGCGTTCATAATTGTTTTTTTGCATTTTTAACACACAAATATAAATGCTAACTTTGGTTTGTGTTTGTGACTAAGTGGTTACTAAAAAAGACTGGATATACCCCATATTAATTACCCTGGATTGTCTACTTTAAAAAAAATAAAAAATAAATATGTACATGTGAGGTGTGATTCAGAAATTTATGACCAATAACAGTGTTACAATGTCACTACTAAAAATATATATTTTGAAACAGTACTTGTACTTATAGCCCTATATCTTGCAAAAAAAGCTAAGAACATGTTGACATTGGGTATTTAGAAACTATTTAGCATGGGTGTTTTGGCAGTTGTAGATGCGCAACCTATTTTGGGGGTCAAAGTTATAAAAAGTGTTTTTTTTTTTTGTTTTTTTTATAGTAAATTATGATATGATGAAAATAATGGTACCTTTAGAAAAACCATTTAATAGCGAGAAAAACGGTATATAATATGTGTTGGTACCGTAAATGAGTAAGAGGAAATTACAGCTAAACACAAACACCGCAGAAATGTTAACAGCCCTGTTTTTTAAAGTGGTCGTGGAGGACTCAATGTGCCTTTGCAGTGTTTCAGTTTGAAACAGTGCACAACCAGAGTTATTTGCACTTTTGTCCCTGTGCCTTTTTACACCCCTGGCACACATGGTTTAGGCAGCCTGAAAAATATGCAGATCATTCATTAAATTATGTGCATATTTTCCATGTGTCGGCGCACATTGGATGCGCTCGGAGATGGCTTAATAGTTCAATTTAAAGGGTTCTCTATGAGAAACCTTTGATTGGAACATATGTTGGCAGCAATGACTGTGCATGAGTTAAGTAAAACCGAAGTCTTTATGTTTAGCAATCAGAAGGGGTGGGGGCAATGCCTAATAGGGCATTATTCATTTTTATCATTATCAGGGTTGGAGTAACCCTTTAAACTTTTGTGGCAATGCTTACCAGATCCCTTAAATATTTGCACATCAGTAATCTATGGGCTTCGTGTAGGTTTCTGGGATTGTAGTTATTCAGTAGAAAGCAGACAACTGAACTGCAACCAAAGAAACCTGATGCCACCATCTACATCTTGTTGGAACAATTCTGATAAGGATTGTGTTAAAATGTACAGCCCCCATAAACAAACAGGATGTCTGCAGTCTCATTCCTTAGCAATACTAAGCTGATTCTGGCAGAATACTAAAGCGACAACCTAAACAAGCCCATCAGAGGTGTTTTTACAAATATATAATCTAATAATAATAACAAAGTATTTAACCAGGAAAGGCACATTCAGATTACTGTGATTTTCAAGTACATTCTGGGGATGTTACTTTAGCCCAACATCCAGGGGTTGTTACTATTACTCAATTTAATGGTACTCATTTTATCTACCTCGGAAGGATGAAGGGCTGGGATTCAAACCTGCGACCCAAGGGTTGAACAGATTCTACTGATGATGCATTAGCCAACTAAGCTATCTCACCGGCATGTAATTGGTATGTAATCTATATAACTTTTGAGGAAATTAAAAAAAAATTCTGTTTTTTAACAGAATTGACGACATCATAGAGCACTACAGAAAAGAACAAATTGTGGAAGGCTATTATCTAAAAGAGCCTGTCCCAGTGCAGGTAAGATAAACAAACTTGCTATTGTATCTCGGTAGAGTGGAATGTGTTGAGGTTTGAGTTTTTAATCATTTTATGAATGTAATAAATGTGCATATGTCTTGTTAGAATAGTAACAATTCTAATTTTTAAACTGCAACATTTGAAGACTGATTTAGTAATAATGAAGCCTGTTATTTGTTTACCAGCATCAAGAGCAAGTACTAAATGATTTGGAAGGCAAAGAAATCTACAACACAATAAGACGCAAAACAAAGGATGCATTTTACAAAAACATTGTCAAAAAAGGCTACCTTCTGAAGAAGAGTAAGACTTGTTTTATTTGTAAATACTATGAGATATGTGCATCTGTATTCATTATTGTACTTATTGTCTTCATGAATAAGGATTCAATTTTGATCTTCTTAGGCATCTCCTCAAAGAAATTGTGTAGCTGGGAAGATACATTTTAAATGTAATCATAGAGTGTATGTATCATTACAGTTCTAGTGAAATTATTCATTCAAGCAGTAGGAATTTATGGTAGTATATTCTAAAGATGGAATTATTTGAGACTTGTAGGACAAAACCAGAAATGTGGAGAAAAGAGAGATTATAGTGTAACTGTTGTGCAGGACAGATAGGAAAGTCACTCTTTGTAAAATGGCCAGCCAGTTATACAGCAAAGAAAAACATTTTAGTGTAGTAAAGGAGGTGAATAGTTCCCATCTTTAAAAATAAATAAATGTGTGGAGCAAAATAAGGGCTTCGTGTGAGCAAGAAAGAGGTTATACTGCGATATCAAGAAGATAATAGGCTCTGTTAGAATACCAAGGATAAAATAAATTGATGAACTTCATATATGATCAGATTATGTAACCAGTAAAGATGCATTTTAGTGGCTCATCATATAGCATATGTTTAAATATCTCTAAGGTTTTTGATTAATACATACTATCTTGCATGAATCAACAAATCCATGTCTCCACAGTAGTAAAAAAAAGTTCAACTTGGCCTCAGAATTGCCTTCAGTTGCTCATGAGAAATCAAAAATATCCCCTGTGGCCAGCTCCCTTAACACACTTACTGCCCTGTTTTTATTTTTTCTATCGTCCCCATGCTGTTTGTCACTGTCAGTGGTGTGAAAGGAAAAAGAGATGGGAGATTTGCAGCACTCTCCATGGTATTATTGGGAGACGGGGCTATTTCTATGCGATAGCAGACATCTTCCCAGATCTCTTGTGCAGCATCATGAGAAACTGCTGTGAAGAAAGTGGTGTGACATCACATCTCCCAAGCACACTTCTGTAATACAGCACTTGGAAGTGCAAGGAAAGTGGTGAAAGCTCTCCTTACCACAACACATGGAGACAGCCTGCTTTCCCATTACAGTAACAGTTACGGAGCTCCAATTTCCCACCCAGCTGATGATTAGATGAGCAGCAGAGGGCAGGAATAGGTGAATAGATTGACTGGTGTGTGTGTGTATATATATATGTGTGTGTGTATATATATATATATATATATATATATATATATAATCTCAGATGCAAATGTCTGATTTTATGTATGTCTGTATGTGAATAGCTCACATGGTTAACTTGTGAGTGCGGTTATTTGTGTATGTATGTGTTAGAGGAAGAGTTGGTTAAGTTGTGTGTGAGGGTATGGCTTTGTGTTTATTTTTAAACAATGATTTTATGATTAGAAATTAGCAAATTACAATAAACTTTACTGCTTCCAACAGGAACACTCCTAATTGTTGATAAATTACATATGTATTTATTTTTTCACTGCTTAATTTGTACCTCATGGTTGAGAGCTGGAAGATATCTTATTTCTTTTAACGCCTAACATCATGTATTTGTTCTTTCTGTTTGCAGGTAAAGGCAAAAGGTGGAAGAACTTGTATTTTATCTTAGAGGGTAATGATGCCCAGCTTATTTTTTTTGAAAGTGAAAAGCGTGCCACAAAGCCCAAAGGATTAATTGATTTGAGTGTGTGTTCTGTCTATGTAGTCCATGACAGTCTGTTTGGCAGGTGAGAGGTTCCAAGTCCTCTGTTAACCATGTTTTAAAGAATATACTGTTTAAGAAAAAAAAAAAGCCGCTAAAAATTAAGCTGCACTATTTTATTTATTTTTCATTTTGATATGTGGGGGTTTGTTTCATATATGTAGTAAATATAGTGAATTTGTTTCTATGTTTTTGTAAACCATGTTGGTCGTTAATGGATTATTAAATGTACAGTTTTGTTCGTATACACTTATATATTGACCTGTTCTCCTGACTGAATAATAAGGTGAATGCAGCTGTTTTGCATTGGTTCAGTTTAAAGCGCTTTAATGGAGCACTTTCATGGTAATGCTTGGTTATAGAGAATATTGCTGGAACATGCAAGTCAAATTTCCACTAACTTTAGAAGCATAACCCTGCCAGTGTGTTTAGTCTTGGTAACAAATGATAAACCTTACATTTAAAAGGACACTCCCAGTGAGTGTTGAGAATTTGTTTTTACACAGAATTTTTTCATATAGTCCATTGGTAACAAGAAGTTTCATTCAATAAATAACTGAATAATAAAATAACCTGCAAAGCCTATCTTGGCTATGTTTTTGTTTTTTTTCTCTTCTTCTATGAATTTTTTCTGGCAGCCACAAATGCACACAGCTTCTGTGTAGGCGATCTTATAGAAAGCTATGAAAGAGACCATATAAGTTTAATGGGGATTGTGCACTGTGCATGATCTTGGAGCTATGGAGGTAGAAAGCGTGAATATTGTGCAGGAGAAGGGGGAAGCATAGCTTCTCCATGTATCACATTCTGTGAAAGGAGCACGACTGGTTGGAGTACCGCTTTAATTTTTTAGTAACCTGCACAATTTTTAATTTCATGCAAAATTCTCTTGGCTCTCAGCTTAAAGGACCACTATAGTCCCAAGAAAACAAACTAGTTTTCCTGGCACTATAGTACCTTGAGGGTGCCCCCAACCTCAGGGTCCCACTCCCGTGGCACTGAAGGGGGAGGAATGGGGTAAATCCCATACCTTTTTTCCAGCGCCGGGCGCTGAGACTCTCCTCCCTCTTCTTCAGTCATCGGCTGAATGCGCATGCGCGGCAAAAGCCGCGCACGCATTCATCCAGTCTCATAGGAAAGCATTCTTAATGCTTTCCTATGGACGCTGGCGTCTTCTCACTGTGAAAATCACAGTGAGAAGCGCCTCTAGCGGCTGTCAATGAGAGAGCCACTAGAGGCTGGATTTACCCATATGTAAACATAGCAGTTTCTCTTTAACTGCTATGTTTACAGTAAAAAGGGGTAAACCTAGATGGACCTGGCACCCAGACCACTTCATTAAGCTGAAGTGGTCTGGGTGCCTATAGTGGTCCTTTAATGTGTGTGTAAAAAAAAAAAAAAAGGTTTGCATGTCAACCTGAAAACAATTTCTCCAAACAAATTATGGACATTTAATCTGCTTTAGCCCTAAACACGTTCCCAATTCTTTGCTTTGGTTCTTTTATAGATCTATAATATAAATGTGTATTCTTATTTAATAGAACAACTTTTTTTAATTTCTGTTTGTTTCAGGCCAAACTGTTTCCAGATTGTAGTTCAGCACTTTAGTGAGGAGCATTACATATTTTACTTTGCGGGTGAGACTCCAGAACAGTCTGAGGTAAATACGCTAGTTATCAAACAAGTTGCCTGATCAATTTTTCTCTAACATTTGTCACTCTATATCAGGGGTAGGCAACCTTGGCGTGCCAGTCCCTTTTTTTTATTGACTGTTTGCTGTTTTCTGCTTGTTATTTATGGGTGCTGCAGTTGTAACAGTTTGTAACATTGTGTTTGTGCATATGTGCGCTGTTATATTATAAATCTTCATGAGTAGTTTGTGGTATTGTGTATAATACCTATGCACGTAGGCTATGTATAAGGGCTGCTTTCCACTGGAATTGTGTGTGTGTGTGTGTGTGTGTATGTCAGTCACATTGTGTGTTTGGTGTGTGTGTATGTGTGGAGCTGCTTGTGGAATTGCATGTGAGAGGCTTCTTGCATGTATGTGGATTGTCAGTCACGTGTTTGTGGGGACTGTGTGTTGGGGAGGTTTATTCTGCTGCTCTGTGTATATTTAGCAGTGTGGGTGGCTCCCTGGGGTTCAGTGGGGACCAAACTAGACATGTACATCTCAAGGGCTGCTCTATTCCAGTGCATGTTCCCGTTCATAGATCTGGGATCACTTCCTCTAAGTGCTGCAATGTGGAAAATGAGGATTGCCCCCTCTACCTTTTTGCACTAGCAGATATCTTAAGTTTCTCTGGGACTCCTGATAGGCCAGAGCCTTGAGTGCCGTTGAAAGGCGTGCCATAGGTTGCTGACCCCTGCTATAGATCATTCTAGAACTTTGTTCTTTTTTTTGTGAGTGTGTGGGAATTTTGTCATCATGGTTTGGAGCCAATATTGAGCAAAATGTGTATATTTATGTTTACTTGGCTGTCCCAGTGTGCCTGCTGGAGCCACTTTCAATGAGCCATCATGCTCAGCGCTATGTCAGCACATTTATATTAACAGATAGTATTAGATTGAGAGTTATATTTATGAGGAACATAATAGAACATTGTGTTTTCATACAAAAATGTATATGCTTAAAATAAATTCAGTAAGTCAGGACTTCCCACCCTTTGAGACAACAAAGTGGCTAAAGTTCCTGATAGTATGTCAGCTCAGTGGAGCTCTTAAACTTTAGAAGAGATTTGGGATTGTTTTGTGGTAAACTGTTGTGTAACATGATTTAATATTTGTGATTACATTAGGACTGGATGAAAAGTTTGCAGGCATTTTGCAGTTTACGAAAGACAACACAATCGTCCTCTAATAAGCGTCTTCGACAGGTTAGTTTCAATGGTATATTTGCAATCCATTATCAAAACATATTGTATGTTGCATGTATTTGTCAGACAAAATATTGTTCCCGTTACTCAATATCTCGCGCTGAGGAATTTGCCATAACCCTAAACTAGTAATAGTTTTTCCTCAAGCAGTTAGTGTACAATTAAAATTATGTTGTGTTGTTCTAGGACTATATAGTTTAAGGGGCAGTATTTTTTTTGTTAGGTTAAAATGTTGATTTAAAAAATGCACTTTTTAAACAGATTGTTTTTAATCTAGATGTGCATTCTTAATTCAAATGCTAACCTTTACATTTTCCCTCTCACTAGGTCAGCAGTCTTAATTTGCATGTAGAAGAAGCTCATAAGCTCCCTGTGAAACATTTTACTAGCCCGTACTGTAATATCTACCTGAACTGTGTGCAGGTAGCAAAGACACATGCTCGAGATGGTCAGAATCCGGTTTGGTCAGAAGAGTTTTTCTTTGAGTAAGTACAAGGACTTTTTTGACTATCGCAGACAGCTATGTATGGTGGATGCTGACATTATGTACTTTTTTTGTTCCGTCTTGATATCATTGGCTTATTGTGCAAATAATTCTGTTTGATTTTTTTTCTACTATTTGAAAGAGCTTCAGCTAAACTAGCCCATGTTTTAAAGGGCTTATAACATCCCTCCTAACATTTGAATGGACAAAGAGGGATACTTTAATTTTAAGGCTTTGAGTGTGGATGTGAACATGGGTGGGACTGTTCTGAGACATTTTGGTGACTTACGAATAACAATTTATAGAACTAAAATGTAATTTAGAAGAACAATGTATCATATTTACACAGACTTTGTTTTTTTTAAACACATGTATTATATTTGAAATACACACTATTGGGAGGATTATTATGGTTGTGGAGCTCTATTATACAGTCACAATACAACAAGTAGGAACCGCCCTCAATTCACAAAAGGTAAGGGTGCTAAACACCATCCCATGAAATGGAAATGTAGAGCGAAATTGTCCAGGCACTCTGTAAGCTTCAAGCACATTTATTGGAACAAACCGAGCACTGCAACGTTTCGACCCACACTTGGGTCTTTGACAAAGTGTGGGTTTAAACGTTGCAGTGCTCGGTTTGTTCCATTAAATGTGCTTGAAGCTTATGGAGTGCCAGGACATTTTCTATATATTATACATTGAGACACACCAACAATGTGAAGCTCCTATAAAAAAGGGATTTGGGAACAAAATAGGGACACTTGGGAGATGTTATAATTAATTCAAGGACCCAGATAAACTATAATGGAGGCTGCTTCTTAAATTAACATTATCCTGCTCTTTATGTGCATGAAAGATGCATCTGCTACACTTTGAGTTTACTGTGCTTCTTGTTGCAAAAACTGTTTTTTTTTCTTTTCTTTTAGTGATTTATCGCCAGACATCAACAGATTTGAGATTAGTCTAAGTAACAAAACAAAGAAAAGCAAAGATCCTGACATATGTAAGTATAGTATTTTTCTTGGTATGTGACACTACTAAATGTGCCCCCTCACAGTATGCATAAGCAACAGGTTGCTTTTTTCCCCCCTTCATTGGATGAACAGAATAAGTCAATTCTGCAGACATATTTTTATGCATTTCTATCCCCTCCATTTATACTTTCAATCTATGTATAAAACTGAAACGTCTTCCTTCATCTCCAATTTAATACCCTACACTTCAGATATGATGATGGCAGGCTTTCACATTCATTTAGTATTGGTGAGGTGGTGAGATGTGGGTTATCCGCAGCAGCAAGATTTTTGTTTCACCTCTCACTCCACCATAATAAACTTCCAGGAACATTGTGAGCCAGGCTGCTGCATATGATGACATGGGATCAGCTCCACCCGGTGTCTTTTTTATTTTTTATGCACCACAAATACAAAGCACATACACAGTTTGATGCCAAAATTAAAAGTGACGTTGCCGAGGGGTTGGTTCTATTTAAGAGCAATAACACAATCTGAATGCTACGTTTGTGGAATAGCTACGTTGTTATGCCAGGAGTACCTTGGTGCTGTTCCATCATAATATGGCAAAATGTATTGCAACGGTTTTCCCTCTTACATGGATCCTGCCAGTAGCTGAGGCTCCTGCATCCTAGCTGAATCACATCTGACTTCTGCTTAAGCCACATGCTGATCGTGCCACTCAGACAGCGTTAGACAATCTCTATCAGCCCATGGAAATATGCACAAAATTAGCTTTAGCCAATCTGGAACTCCTGTTCTGGGCTGGGTAATGATGCTGGCAGAGGGGAAGTTACAATTCCGGCAGCAAAGGGGTTAAACAGTGAATGTTTCACAGTGAAATGCTGAATCTACAGGCTCTGAGCATCAATTTCCAAGTGATCATGATGCTTGGATTAACAATCCAAAAACAAACAAAAAACACACCTTTTCAGTTGATTTATCTAGAACTATTCCCATGCATGTTAGAAGTTTTGATTTTCCATTATAGCATGACCTATGACACAGATTTTTAATATTTGTGTATTTGACAGCTGCAAGTTGTATAGCTAATCTTTAAAATTGATTTAATGACCCACTATTTACAATGTTCGTTTCCGGTCTGTTGTAAAGCACTGCTTTGCCCTAAGCATTGATTCGTCTTTCTTTTCCTGTAACTAGTGTTTATGCGATGCCAGTTAAATCGATTGCAAAGAGGGCATGCAATAGATGAGTGGTTTCAACTCAGTTCCCACATACCGCTAAAAGGTATAGAGCCAGGTTCCTTGCGTGTCCGGGTACGATACTCTATGGAGAAAATAATGCCTGAGGAAGAGTACAATGAGTTCAAAGAGGTACTTATATTCCCTTCAATTCTACGTTCATATTGCTAATTAGCATAAAAATCTAATTTTTGTTTTATTTTGTAGCTTATACTACAGAAGGAACTTCATGTAGTGAATGCATTATCACATGTATGTGGACAAGACCGAACACTACTGGCTAGCATCTTATTACGAATTTTTCTGCATGAAAAAATGGAATCATTACTTTTGAGAACACTAAATGACAAAGAAATTAGTGTGGAAGGTAAATGATTTCTGATGTTTTTTTGTTTTACTTTTTGTGTAAAATTACTATCTGGTTTTTAGCTTCCCGAATGAATTTATTTATCGAGTCGAGTTTACACACAAAATGTGTGTAGGTCTAGACTGTAAGCTCGTTGTAGCAGGGTCCCCATCTACCTATTGTTCCTATAACATTTTGTAATTGTCTCATTTATTGTTAAATTTCCCCCTTTTATAATATTGTAAAGCTGCGGAATAAGTTGGCGCTATATAAATACCAATAATATATCTTCCTGTTGCTTCTGTTTTAGAACATTGACATATTTCACTAAGGTTTCCTCAGTTACCAGTAGGCTACTAATTATAGCCGTATTCTTTTTAAATGATTACTCCGAGCACCCGGACCACTTCAGTAATTTGAAGTTGTAATGGTGCCTGGAGTCTGTATATGCAGGTTTTATCTATGAAATGGTGCACCTATCAAGCTTAACCCATTGCCCGACGAAGATGTTACTCAATTTCTGGCAGCTTTGTGGTGTGCCATCAAGCAGCCCAGAACCAGAGGTCTCAGTAATGTTAATGTTGTGCATCTGGGCCTTTGATTAGCTGACGTTCTTGGCTAGTTAATGGCAACCAGATCGGGTTCCACCTTATGGAAGTGCCTCATCCAGCTATTCTAGGAGCTTGGTAGAGATGCAGGTTAGAGGTTAAGCTGTTGCTAAAAGGTCCACTTCATTAACAGGGTTCTGGGCCAAGGTAGACCTGACATCATAACCACTACAGTGAGCTATAGCTATAAACTGTAGTAGTTATGGTTCCTGACATTCCCTTTAATTTTAATAACCCTGCTATTAACATACATATTTGTAATTCTTTATCAAAGTAAATATATTTTATAATTCCTTGCTACAGACTGTGTAGTCTGCATAATTTATCATCTCCTTGTTAAGTGCAATACCGCTTCTATTTATTTTTAAATTAAATGATTTTTTACAGATGAGGCAACAACTCTGTTTCGTGCAACCACATTAGCAAGCACACTTATGGAGCAATATATGAAAGCCACTGCAACACCGTTTGTTCATCATGCTCTCAAAGATACTATTTTAAAAATACTGGAAAGTAAGCTGTCTTGTGAGGTGAGACGTGTGAAATCATACAATGTTACAATGACTGCTATAATAATATGGACAAATTGGGCTTCTAATGTAAGAAACACAAGATTACAGTGCAGTTAAGTATTTGCCAAATTAACTAAACAATATAAATCTTGCAAACCTATTTTAAATCCGCATTGGGCCTATATTCAATTGTCAGAGAAAACAGATTTATTTAGTTATAACACTTAAAACTGAGAATTGTTTTTTTTTTGAATATCTCAATGATGAAATGGCTAAAGGCACTGAACATTTTCTTAACACTTGCTTTATTTATTTTTTGAGAAGCAAAAATTAAACCAGATTGCAGCTAGTCGGTGTATAAAATATACTTTAAATAAAATTTCTGTTTGTAACTTAAATGCTTAACTTGATATTTGCTTTCTTTAAAGTTAAATCCTTCGAAGCTGGAAAAGAATGAAGATGTGAATGCAAATTTGGCACATTTACTAACCATACTCTCAGAGTTGGTAGAGAAAATCTTTATGGCAGCAGAGATACTTCCTCCGTAAGTAAATAGACTTTCTGTAGAGAAGTAGGGAAAATGTCCTTGTTGTACTGAAAAATGCATTCTTAATCTAGAATGACATTTAAAAAAAAAAAAAAAGTATCTTTGCGAGTTGGATAGTATCAGTGTATAGTATAAACTAGGAATAATAGCATCCTGTGCTCAACCCCACAAAGTGAATGTTTTGTTTGATAGAAAGCCAATTCATTTTAAGCATCCGTATTGTTTGCAGGCTTAAGTACTTGCTTCTTTATCTAAATATATTTTAACCCATTAAATGAAAGATTGCCAACTCAATTTTTGCCATACTTATTTGACTCTGAGAGGATTTGGGTGTTGTGTTTTTTTTTAAAACTTGAAGTGGGTTTATGTTTTTTTTCTATTACTATAAAATGGTTTGTATTATGAGTAGACAAATAAAAACTGTGAACAAAGCCATTTTGGTGCATTGTATACCGCATTGAAGTGTCACATTTTGGCCCATGAAAATGTAGGATAGAAAACCACTTCGGCATTTGGTTTTGGACTAATCCTATTTCGTCCTAATTTGGAGAGATCAGCAGTTCATCTAAATTCTACAACTTCAAAACACCATATGGGTGTATCACAAAGCAAACAAAGGCCATTTTGTTTGTTTCGTGAAACAATCTGTCCTGTGGTGGTGAGAGTTTACTTATGTGGTAACTGGCCAGTACTTGTTAACTGGCACCCCACCTGGACAAATCCGTTTAAATTGACCATTTTCTTTTTGCCATGTTCAAGTCTAAATACAAATACAAAAAAATTATCGGTTAGGGAGAATTAACTTCATTCGAATGAGTGCACTTTCCTGTGTTCTCTGCCAATATCAATTTGAACCTCCTTACTGAAACGGTTTCAAAACCACATATCCTCCTTTATTTGGAAACAAAGATGCCCAGAGTGAATCATGGCCTTCTCTGCACTCACCCAAACCCGTGGTTTGCCTCCTTGGTTGCCCAAGTGTTACAGAACTTACCCCACTGCTACCCGCTCCAATGGGTGGCACTGGAAAACACATTACTCCATTCACACTCCTTCAAGGAACTGATGTGGCTTCCCCCGTCAAACATACCATCACATGTCAACGCTCTACCTCTCCCACTGGTTTTACCTAATGGCATGGTACTACCGGGCCTCTCACTTGATACCACAGACGTCTTTGCTACTTTACACCCCTATAACTGTTTAACCTCAGACGTGCCACTGTGGACCTAGGAGAGCAGAACTATAGCACAGTTGTTTTGAAGGTGACCTTCTTCCCGACACTGGCATCTACCTACAGCCGATTTACTAGAGTGCTCTTCACTCATCTATGGCTCAAACATGTCTTACAGTCTCACAAAGTCAGACCATCAGAAGTAAACCATTTAACCACAATCCAGAAAAAAAGTTTTGGGCTCGCAGCCATGACCACTACATGGAGCTTCTGCCATGTTCACTGCAATGGATATATTCATTCATCAATGATAAGTGATCTATTTTAGATGCTTTAAAACAAATCTTTTAAAAAGCTAGTGTGGTTTGCTTTTTGTAATTGTGTACTAAACTTTTTTTTTTTTTTTTCTCCAAACAGTACTTTGAGGTTTATTTATGGATGCTTGCAAAAGTCTGTTCAACAAAAGTGGCCTTCAAATAACACTATGCGGACCAGGGTTGTTAGGTAAGTTGAATAAAATAAAGCAGATATGTGTTATGTAGAGAAATAAGAAATTCTCAACTTATTTATGAACTGTACATACCAGCTGTCTTATAAGGTTCATCTGTGAATGTAACCTTTAGCAGTGAAAGATAACTCCAGCCCTGTCTACTATTCTTGATTTTTGGGCTGGTGTAATATTAGAGTACAAAAACCGTTACTTGTTCCTTCGTTAATCTTTTAATTTTTGATTTTTAGTGTTTTAGTAGGAGTACAATACCCTTGTGCATATTAGAGTAAAAAATGGTCCTTAGCTAACTTCACTAATGTGCAGCAATTTGCTATAGTCCTTTCTTACCTAACAAGCAATAACTGTTAGTAAATACAGAAGAAGCTCTCTCATTTTGCCAGAAATCTAGTTTTAAAGGAACAGTTTGCTGAAGTGGGGTGTTAGTGTCTTTAGTCTGTCATACTTGTTTGTCTGTTTATAAAAGGGCCGATTTCAAAATGAGTTGTCATTCAGCCAGGAAGGTTTTCTCCCGCATCACTAGCTTCGCAGAGCGTAATGGAAGTTGAAGCTGTGCAGTGTTAGGGAGTCTGTACTACAGCTCATTGAGAATCATAGGAAGGTCACGATCGCAGCTCTAGCACAGAATTTTCTCAATGAGACACCTCTGATTGGTCAATCCTCTGGTACAGTGACTTAAAGAAGGTGTTCTCAATACCTCACCATAAACAAAACATAAAATAAATAAAATGGTAATCACGCCAGGTGAAATAAGAGATATGAGTTTCACTTAAACCTCAAGGTGATACAAATATACAATACATACAAGTAAATATTGGAAATCCGCAGCAAGGACCTTAAAAATAGTGCAGTATAGCCAAATGTTAAAGTGGTAATGGAATATTTGAGAGAACATACACTTCCAACAGCTACAAAAAGCTCTACTAGTATAGTTGTGGACGGTATACAGTGGATACAGGTGGATCTGGAACAGAGTATGATCGTCACTTCCAAGGAGGTATGTGCGGAAAGAGAACCAGAACACAGGGAACAGTGGAACAGTATCACAATGGGTAGGTTTATAAATGAAAGGAATATCCTATTTGCATTGAGATAAGCAAACTATCTACTGGTGGTGGTAGTAAGCAGAGGTGGTTTAATCCCCACCTGAGGATATATTGGAACCAGTGGTACAGATGAGATGTAATAAATTAGTAGTATAAAATAATATACTTTATTACATCAAACAATAAAGATAATGAATAAAAACTAGATATACCAAGATATATAGTTAAAATAAAATAAACTTCAGAGGTGTATACAGAGGTTGTGAAACACGTTAAGTTAAATGTTTTTCTGTGTAGATGAAAAAAATTACTTGTCTTTTCCTTCTCTATTATTTTCTCTTCTAGTGGGTTTGTGTTCCTACGACTAATCTGTCCTGCCATACTTAATCCAAGGATGTTTAATATCATCTCAGGTAAATTAAAATGTGCATTAACAAAGTTCTTACAATGTTTTTAGATGAAGTGCTATGTGTGGTATTATAAATGATCTAGATCAGGGCTGTCAAACATACGGACTCCAGAGCCTCCAAATTCAGCCCATGGCTTTTACCCACACGAAAGGTGGTGGGAAGCTAAAAACTGTGAAATAAAATGTTAATTGTTACTTATAGGTGTGTGTGTCGTTTTTTTGTATGTGTACCTGTGTTTCTATGTAACAGAGTGTCTGTGCATATTTGTGTCGGTGTGCAGCAATGCATACATCCCAGCATTTAAACACCAATACAGCTTTTAAACACCAACAATGCACACATACACCCTTGCTCTCAAACATGCAAACACAGTCCTGAATTTAAATGCCATTACTTCAAACAGCATTGAACTACACACAAATACACCTTTTTATTGTTGTAAGTAATACATTACACTTTACATTATGTTAAGTTGTTCTTTGTGCATGCTCTTTCTTCTTTGCGTGTGCATATGTGTATATAAAATGTATGCATTTGACCCTCTATACCTATTTCAGTGGACACCCCTGATCTAGATGAAGCTAGGCTACCTCAATTGTGCCTAGTAAATACTTGCATATTCATTTATATCATTTGGTTTTAAATGTTGTGCCGGTTGTGTCCTGTTTATTTTCAGTTTAAGTAACTTATTTGATGTTTACCCTTTGCCAGATTCTCCTTCTCCAACTGCAGCAAGAACGTTGACGCTGGTCGCCAAGTCTCTTCAAAATTTAGCAAATTTGGTAGAATTTGGAGCCAAAGTAAGTAGACGAAATATAGTAAAATGCCATGATTATTTGGTGTTATTGCACAGCAGTTAATTGGGGATTGCATCAAACGTTGTATAGGTACCATACTGCTATAAATAGCATTCTGTTTACTTTGTGTGGGTAACCGTTTATCTGAGTGGACCCAGTCACCACTCTCAGTATCTGCATTGTGGATGTACAAATGGCACCGTCATCTGAAAATGGTTCTGAGTTTAATTCAGTTTGACGACTCGGGATCACATTTTTAGGATCAACAAACATGCATTTGGTATAATGTAAACAAATCTGTATAAAATCCTGCAACTGTGGTTCGTCAGATGTATGGTTTTAGTATGAGTGCTTGGAGAGTTCCTTTAACCCAGCTATGAAACCTTTATTCACACTTTGTATGTAAATCCTCCTTTCTTCTAGTGACTTATGTAGAACTAACTTAGAAGCAACCTGTGTCCTTTGGTTATTTGAAAAGAAAACACATTTCATAGTTTGGGGGTTGTTTATATGAAAAACAATCACTACAACACTTTGCAACTTTTTCTCTTTTTTAATCCATTCATATTCTTGTTCTGCTTAACTTCTCCTTCTGCACATGTTCATATCTACAATTAATTAGGTTAATAATTGTTAAAACTTTTTTTTTTTTTTTTTAACAATGTCATCTGGCAGAATCTTGGGTTTCAGGGATGTTGGTTACTGTTCTGACATGTATGTATTAGCAATCTGTAGGAAATAGTCAAATAACTACAGATAGTGTGATAATTTGGCCGTCCTAAATTGGTTCTCTGAGAGTAAACCTTTCTATAAGTCTAGTTTACAATAATTTTGAAACCTCTAGCAATTATTTAATGGTACAAGTGTAGTTTAGTTCCCGTATAACTGAGCAGGACTATTGTTGTAAATTGAGCAAATTAATAATTTTCATGTAGTATTTAATAAACCTCGGAATGTAATTGATGCATGTTAGTGTGTAATAGTTGTTATAAATATATATTATTACTAATCTTACGGACTTTAAGGCTCATTCCCAAAAGGCAGAATTAATGAATTCTGTAACTTGCAAATGTGTATGGTGAATGGGCATCCATTATATACTTATTCATGTTACGGTATGCCTTTGTGTGTGCAGTGCCAGGAGCCCACAGAAGCACTTTCGAATGTTGGCAACTAAAATGTGTCTGAATCAAACTACTCTAAATAAATGTGTAAAATGAAATCGCCCCTGTATGCCCCCCATATTTAATATGAAAAAGACTTTGGGCATACAGGAAGTACCAGCACCAGTTTGGAGCTCTGAGACTCTTACATGCATTAAGTACATAATACGTTCTAACAACAATTCCTTTTATTCTGGTTGGCACGGGAGGAACATGCTGCTGCTGTGCCACAAAGCTGCGTTTTTTCCTCCGGAGCTGTAAGAAAATGAGTTATTTTTTTTCTCTTTAATCTTTTAACTGGTATCGCTTTTGCACTTGCCATTGCATGATACTCATCTCATTGTAAATGCAGTCCATTTCTCATGTTATTTTGCCACTCTCACTGTAGCTCTCTGGAGTGTCAGCAAACACTTATAATTCCCCAAAACTTTGGAACCGTCTTCTTGACAAAATGTACATATGTTTTCTTTAGAAGGGCAACCTGCCCTTTTTATAGTATATTGAATATACTTTAGAAGACTTATGCCTTAAGTGGAACTGCACCTTTAAAATAATTTGTGGTGATTGCGTTTTCTGTAGTGAACTTGGCTCAAATCTACTGTGAGAGGGGGTGTAACGTGTCATTTGAAAATATCACACATACGGATATATCCATCACATTGTTGTTTGTGTTCTGCATTACACACCAAAAATTCTAAAGCTGCAGATCACCTTGCTGATATTGAAGATTGTACTATTGGCAAGTTATGACATATATAAATTACTTAAATTATTTTTCGATGATTTCTTATAAAGCCCATCCATGTGTGTAGCAAGGACATTATAAATGCAAACCATAGATTGCATCTGATTGGCTGCTAGGCTTGCTATAGAATTAACTTGTCACTCTACATGTGGAGTGTGGATTTTAATCAATTCTTCTTTTTTTACTTGAAAGAAAGAAAACCTTCTCTTTTCAGTAGATTTTTGCAATTAATAGCTCACCTATTCAACGTCATATTGTTTGTCACTTTGTACAGATTTGATGCATTTAGCAATCTGTGGCTTGTAACATTGATGGACTCTTGCTCTATTTGTAGAGTGCTATTGTAATTTGATTTCTTTTAACAGTGTAAACTGTATGCTCAGTTATCAGACAGTCTGCTATTATATCATATTCTGTGCTTCTTTGCCATTCTTTGTGTATTTTATAGCAAAGCTGTCTTTTGTGTGTGTTTTGCCGGCCTTTGGCAAAACAAGAAATTGTCAGCCATCCTTTGCACAAGTAAATCTTGATTATTTTTTAAGTAGTCTGGTTCAATTGGAAAGTCTCAGTGTTACAGCTTTCTATGTATGAAATCAAAACGTTTGCAAGATTAGTAATGTTAAAGTGATTAGTGCTCTGTGTCTGCATTATCTATCGTGCGTGGCAAAAAAGAAAAGTCCCTTTGAGGTATAAAACTGCTTTTATATCTGCTTTTGTGTTTCTAGGAGCCCTACATGGAAGGGGTAAATCCATTCATTAAAAGTAACAAGCACCGCATGATCATGTTCTTAGATGAACTTGGGGTGAGTAGGAATGTGTTTGTGTTTAGTGTCATGGAAATAGTTGGTACAGGAAAAATAGGAAACAAATACATATTGTGAATTTGGTTTATCCTCCAAGTGAAAAAAACAAAAACCTTGGGGTAATTTTACTAGTGCACTATATTAAATCTTAATTTACTTGTAGGGGATGCGACACTCACACATTTTTGTATGAGTTACAAATAAATCAGCTCTTTATAAGTGCTATATATGTTACACTTAGTGGTTATATACATATATACATTTAAGGGAAAAAACAAACATGCATTGCTTCAATTTCAGAATGTACCTGAACTACCAGATCCTACTGAGCACTCTAGGACCGACCTGTCCCGCAATTTGGCAGCTCTACATGAAATGTGTGTTGCACATTCTGATGAACTCCGTACCATTAGCAATGAACGAGGCGCACAACAGGTATAACGTTTTTATCAGGCACTAGTATAAGAATATTTTTAGTTCACACATGATTACTCCTATAAAGCACTTGAAATAATAAATTGTTAAAACAAACCATTAAGACCATTGGTCAGAAAAATGGCTTGTTTGGGAACAGGCAATATGTGGGTATATTTATGTATTTTGTAATATCACATACACATGCAGTAGTTACCTGTGCACTCCTTTACAATTCATATACATCAGTAGTACAACATTAAGCTTATGGTGTTTAATCTTCTTCAAATGCCATCCTCCTTCTGCTCAGAAACTATCATTGGCGTGGCAGGGTACACAGCTTACTTACTATACTTGTAGTTTTTAAGACTACCTGTCGAGCAGGAGTAATTCATATGCTGTTGTAATTCTGGTTTTAAAATAACTGAAGAGCCACCTGCTGGCTAACCCCACCTTGGACAAATTTGTAACTTGATATAACCATCTCAGCAGAATGATAAATTGTACTGAAACCTTTAATATTTATTTATTTATTTATATTTCAACAGCATGTTCTGAAAAAACTCTTGGCGATTACAGAGCTGCTTCAACAAAAACAAAACCAGTATTGTGTAACAAACAACACCAGGTAGCAGCTACGAGCACGCAAGCTGGGTGGATAGAGCATGCGCGCACCTGGAAATCAGTTCACAATATCACTTCCTCCTGCTCTTTCCAGAACAAATAAAATAGCACGTATTAGCCACCAGCTAAGCTATGTGCGGGACTATGCAGCAAAAATATTCTGTTGGTAAATGTTAATGCCAGCAGATTTTTGTTTTTAAGCTATCTGTGCGTTATAACTGCACTTTTTTTTTTCTTCACACTTTGAACTGACTTCCACTGAACTGAGCCTTTGTCTACTGATTATCTTTCACAGACCAAGTTGTGTTGAGATGAACTATAGCACATTTCCACGCATCATGCCAAAGTCTATACACCCAAAACCTGTTGACTGACAGAAATGTTGTGCTTTTGGACAGTCATTTATAACTGGATTACAAGCTATTTTTATACTGTGTTTCTAACTGGTCTCTGTTGTTACTGCTCACGACTGTTCAACCAACCTGAATTATCGTTTAATTTCAAAACTGACAAGGAACAAGTGCTACTTTTTATTATTTTTGTTCTGTCTTTCTGGGATCATATTAAGTTTATGAAAAACAGAAATCTTTTTTTTTTTTTTTTTTAAATGTGCCACTGATTCTGTTAAAAATTTTCCATCAACACCATGTATTCAGAGGGGGAAAAAAAACATGAAAAACTTTTGTAAAATGTTTACACCAGTAAATAATGGAGTTCAATAAATTTATTGTTGTATCTGATGTGCATGCATTAAACTGTTTTGTAAAGTATTGTTTGGTCTGTCTATTGTGTATAGTTTTTAAATCTGATACTTTTTCCTCTTCCACTAAACTATTTCACTACAAAGAACATTCCTATTAAATGAATGTATTTTAAATTGGCAAAATTGATTTTTGTATAGCAAAACTGCACTAAAGGTTGCCAAACATACCCATGCTAGATTGGAAACCATGTATATTGTACATTAAAAAGTTAATGCTTTTTGAAACCAATCAAAAATAAAATCATTGTTGTGGTTTTGGTGCAGAGTATGTGGGTGGTGCCCAAATGTGAGTTAAGCACCAAAACCACTTTATACTTTAGTGGTTTTATTTCACGTACACTTTATCCCTGCAATTTGTCATGAAAGATGCTTTTAGTTTTCGTAAGGAAGCTCTTTGAGGAACTAACTTGTGAAGACTTGAAAGTCTGGCAATTGCTGCACATACAGTTTGTCCCCACTGTTTGAGATATTAGACAGAGATCAAGGAAGGAGGAGCTGCCCGGCATAAATTGGATAAAACGGGGTGAGTAGAGTACTCTGCTCAGATGGTGGCATGGAGTGCATTAAAACTTGTACCGTGAGCTATAATTGAAAAATGGTGATTAGAATGAAATGGATCTATGTGAGGGGGGAAACTATTAAACAGCACCGTTATGTAATCCTGAGTAGTATTTCCATTTTACAGCCCTAATGTATTCTGCTCTTACAAATAAAAGGCATATTGTTTAACACTCCGTGTATTCCCATGCCCCCTAATTGTATCGGTTGCCATCTATGGTTTAACAATTTACTGGGTTTCCTGAACACCATGCTCTTTCTACCCCAATGCTTCTTGGACAAAACTGTTGGAGGCAGGTATTCTCCGACAACCCTGCTGCTGCTTCTTCTGTACAACAGTCTAAATATCCTCTTCTCATACATGCAAAAATAGCAAACAGGATGAAAATCAGCACAGCCTTTCCACTCCATGTGAAAAGTGACATGTCCTATATTGACAAGCTGAGTATAGTGTAGGTAGAAGTCCCTTTTTGTATCTCTGGGCTTCTCTTTTAAAAGTTTTCCAAGGTCAAAGCTTATATTCAGCAATAACTTGTTTTACAATATGCCACTTATTTTATTGGGGCAACCGTCGGTCCCAAATCCATCGACCACTTGAGCAACCTGAACTTTCCACTTATGGAATGGGAAGCCGGCTTTACTTTTATGAAAAAGGATAAACCCATCCACGCTTGCCCTCTGCAAATTTAATGCAGTTAGCCAAACTTTCACACGTCTTGCACTTAACTCCATCTTATGAAAATATTAACTACTGTGTTTAACGCTCACTTGTCGTCTTAGAGAAAACACTTTTACGCCAAAGTTTATAAGGTTATTGGAAAAGGACCCATGCAACCTTGTATAGAAGTGAACAATGGCAGCAAAGTTACACACGCCAAAGCTTTACATTCAGAGAAATAAATCTATATACTCAACATGTATTGGGACCCTACTTATGTTGGTCTTTTGATAGTTGGAGATGTTTCAGATTTGAGGCATCTGTTCTATTTCCAAATTTTAGAGACTGGTTTTGAACATGATCAAACAGATGTAGAACACTCGTATGCCTAAACTGCCCTAAACAAACCATACTAACCTGCCTGGAGTGAAATATAGAAACATCCCATTAAAAAAAAAATCTAACCACAAACAGGAGTCTGGTTCTACTTTATTGGTGCCAACATCACAAATCAGGACTCACACAGTGGGTTAGAATTAAATTAAACTACCTGGGCCATGAAGACGGCCCTGAATCCGACTAATAAGTATGATGCAACATTGCCACCCTGGCTGCTATATAATATCCAATCACTACCATACAAATGCAATTTGACAAACTTCCCCACTGAGATTCTCATGCTGCATGGTCTGCTCTAAATAACCCTGGCCTGCATTTCCATCCCACTTTTCCTCCCTAACCGATAGCATCAGTTTTAGTGACCATTGGATTTTGTTTTGGATTTCCTTAACCCCTTAAGGACACAGCTTCAGAAGCTTGTCTTAGGCTTAATGACACAAGCAATTTTTGCATTTTCTTGCTGTATGCAATCAACTGCAATTTGCATCTTTCGTTTATTGCACCGACACATATTATATACTGTTTTTTAAAGGACAGAAAGGGCTTTAATTTGATGTAACATACTTATAAATGCTTATTTAATAAAAATACAGAAAAATGCAAAAGTTTTTTGCAATAATAAGGTGTGCCTGATTAGTGCAGGTTAAAGAAAGTAATTAAAAATACATTCATATAATTCTGATTTAAAGAATATAATGTGTTTGAGATTTTAAGGTTTTTTTTGGTAGTTACAGATCACAAAGCACAAGGAGTAAAATAAACTTTTAATGTGGAGTGATTTTAGAATTTGGTATGTTTGTCTTGTAAGCTTAATAGCCATAAAAGAAAATATTATATAAAGTAGACATCACAGGCTATTGTCCTAAGGTTGTTTAGACACTTTCTACATAGCCATTTCACCACCAATCTCTGCTAAATATTGGAGTAAAATTTAGTTTTTTGGGGGTTTTGGCACACAAATTTATAACAAAGAACTTCTCATGTGTATTTTGTAAAGTTGGTGTGTGCTGTTCCTGTAGAAAGTTTTATTTTGTGTTCAGTTACTTCTGCTGAGTACACGTATACCCCCATTGTACGTCTTTGGCCCTATTTCGTGAAGCTACAGTGCCATATAGGAGACATGTCCGTTTCAACATTTACAGTAGAATTTTGAGAGGTGGAATTAATGGGCCTATGCTTCAATTTGGGGTTTTATAGCAGTTTTTTTCATCAATATAGGCCAAAGTATGTGGTAAAAAATAATTTGGGGCATTTTTTACATACGGATTACATTTTTGCTGGGCATTTTGTACATTTCATATGTGCCACTAAGTTCAAACCCCCCAAATTATGCTCAGCTAAGTCTTCTGAGTAAAACAATATGCCCAATGTATGACCTAGACACTATTTTGTGAAGTTACACTGCTGTAAAAGAGACGTGACAAGTTAAGGTTTTTAAGTGTGAATTTTCATGGAGGGTTTTGATGCGTCCGTGTCCCACTTTGGAACACTTGAGTAGGCTACATATTACAACTACACTATAAAGGCATACCATTTCTTAAAGAACACATCCCAGGGTATTTCAAAAGGCATATTTTGAACCTTAGCGTGGGATAATTTTCCCCCTTTCCCATAACTCCCACCCACTCCAGCTAGCAAAATTATAAAATATTTAAAGTCAATTAAATAAACTGAACCCCTGAGGGTTAAAAAATAAATAAAGGTTAATCCTCAGGGGTTAAAAGAAATTAGATTACAGTATAATACTGTGATCAGTATTTTGATCACTGTAGGCTGTGATCAACTGGCAGGGAAGGGGTTAATTTCTATTTAGACTGGGCAAAGGGGATGTTTTTTTTACTTAAAGTTTTTTTTAAAAATGTTTTAGTAATGTTTAACATTAACCCCTAGTTAGCCTAACACCAAATTTCCCACTAACTTCCACCCATCCCAGCTATCTAAATATATAGTTTTAAACATTTAAATTAATTAATAAAATAAATTTAACCCCTGAAGGTTAGAATAAAAAAAATAATTAACCCTCAGGGGTCAAAAAAATAATAATCAGATGACATTAAAATGTAGTCAGTGATCAATTGGCAGGGAAGGGGTTAATTTTATTAAAGCAGGGGAAAGGGGGGGTGGGATTTAACTTTATTTATTTTTTTTAACACAGGAAGAAGATCAGCAGCACTGATCCGTCTCCCTGCACTTCACACAGAACCCGGAAGTGCAGTGAGACGGAAGGTAAGTATATACAGCACATGTGCTCGCTCTGTCAGCCCGATCGGGTGCTCCCAGACTGCCTCTAATACAGAGGCAGACCGGAGCACCGTTAACCCTGCGATCGCCACGATCTGGGGTTAACTTTAGTAAATGACGGAAATTTTCCGTCAACGGTCCTTAACTGAAGGACAAGGTTGACAGAAGTTTCAGTCTGCGGTCGGGAAGGGGTTAATCCTTAGGGTTTTTATTTTGTTTGTTTTTTTAATACCCACTTCTCATCTGGGACCATATCCATTACAACTTCTGGGTGTTTTGTTTTTTTTTTTACTGTATCTGACATTGTAAATCATTCATAGAAAGTTTACAAAAAAAAAACCTACTACTTTATTGTAACAATATAAATATCTGGCTTAAATTTATGCACATAGAATGTTAAAGCCCTCGGGTTGAGAACACATACACAAGTGTTGTGCCTACAACTTCCAAGTACTGCCAAGATGTTCCAGGCTTCCATTGCTCATAGACAATCTACCAGGTCATCATCACTCCATTCTTCCTATAATCAAAAAAAGAACATGTTTTATTAAGGCACTAAAGTTAAAACAGAATATAGTTTAAATTATGAAGCTCCTTAATCCCCTCACTAAAAAGTGTTACTCAAATGTCAAACTTTTATACTACATCTGTATTTAACTTCCTAAAAACAACCACATATTGATTGGTTACATTCTAGATTATAATTAAAGTACTTTTTCACGTTGTAGCATTCTCTTGTGTTAAAGTGATAACGCTGCTGTTTATAACAGAGGACTACACAGTGTTATTTAATAAAGTGAGATTTCAAACTGAATTTCACATTTTAAAAAAAATGAGTCAAACTGAAAGCATAAGCTGACTTGGGGAATTTTTTTTTACTTAAGTTACTTGGACCTCAAATCTCACTTTAGTAAATAACCTTGCTAGTGTTTACCCACTCAACGTACTAGATTATTTGCAAAGCTACGACTGGATAGAATTCTGAAGCGCAAATAATCAAGAGAAAGCACCGAAATGAATAAAGCTAAAACTGACCCTTTGAAGATTTTTGCACAATCTGTCAGCTAGCTAAAAGTTAGCTAAGGGCTGTGATTTTATTTAAACTTATTTTGTAAGTCACACTCACATGGCAGTTCTCTAGTTGCTTGATTCCACCCACAGCATCACAGAATATGGAAGGTCTTGTACTTATGTCTGCAGCACACCTCAGCCCAGTAAAATGCTTTAAGCGACTTTGCTTTTAATACTACAAAACATGTTTTTTGTTTTGCTTCTATCTATGCAGGAGTCTCAAAAAGGTGTGCCTTTATATGTAAGTTAATGTAATGGTACATTACTGCAAGTGCCACACTAAGATTTAGAAATCCCATAATTCACACCATGATGCTATACCCTGAATTACCAACTTTCAAGGTGCACTCCAATAGTGATTATCTACCAGTCAATCAAATTCTTCTCAATGGATGCAAAAATGCATGCATGGAAAGCACCACACTAAGCCGGCAATGCTTCTTACAGAGAGGTATTGGAACCAATTATTTTTAGGAGAAGTTCAAGACCCATATAAAGGAAGCACTCAAAGTAAGTGAGGAAAAGTACTCGCCCAGCTGTCAGTGTTTCCTTAATTCACAGTGTGGACCTCAAAAGTTAGGAAAAAACATGATCTGCCATTTAGGTACAGACTGATAAATGTATTTCATGTGAAAGAACAAACATAATAAAAAAGGGTCACAACCCGAGCAGCGGAATGTGCTGTAAGAAAAGTCAAATGGCACCCTCTTCCAAATGTTCCTTGGGACAACAACTAATAGATCTAGCTTTTGGGGGAAATCAAGCTTTTTTTGCACCCCTGATTTAGACATATGGGATTTAGTTCTTTCAGATTTATTTATTTTAAATCCCAAGAGAGTGAATATTTACAAACCTCTTCGGTCTTGGGCCTCTTTGATATATAGTTATCCTCTTCATAGCCTTTTCTCTTCCTTCTACAAAAAAAACAACGCAAAGAAGACCGCTCATAATTTGTACATTAGGCAACACATAGTATCCTTAAAACAGTAGCTCCTTTTGGACCGTAGCAGTGCTACAGTTAGTTCATGGTAGCAGGTGCCTGGTGATTATGCAAAGAGTTTTGTGACAGGTTGACAACTTACAGGAAGGCTTTCCAAAAAAAAAACCAAAAAAAAAAAAACCAAAAAAAAAAACCAACCAACTTATGGGGAACTGGACAGTTTGACCAACTCTGCTATTCTGGTCTAAAGTGTAAGCCAGTTGCTTCCCACTTTTTGTGAACACACTAGGATCTTGGCATTATGCAATTTGTAAAGAGTAGGGTAGATATGGAATAAAACATGTGGATTAAAATTGTACTCTAAGCACCATAGTGCACTGTGGAGCTTATAAAGTCAAACTATTTCAAGCAATTTGATGCGTACCTTGGTCTAAGCCTATATTATGGCCAAGCTTTTCAGATCTAACTAACCTGGAAGAGTCTACTTTCACACAATATCCATTCTGATATAAAGTATTATATCTATTATTTATTATTTTTTATTTTGCAAGGCAGGAACTTTCTCTGCCTTGCAACAGGTAGTGTCAGCTTGCTATATGCAGTCAGCAAAGTTCATAGGAACAGCAATATTCTCACTCATTACACATTAATAAATGCCTATGGAATCTCATTGCACATGAGAGAGAAGATCTATGGAGGATCCCATGGCCTTGTGCATGCTCAAGGTACATAGAGAAGGCAGCTCCATGTGGAAGATTGTACAGAAATGGGGGACAGTGATAGGCAAGTCTCGATGATCTCTCCTGGACACCAACCTTTAAATAAAATAATGACCATGTAAGTAAATTAAATATCCAACTTACACATTCACATTCAAAGCTACTTCATTACTATGGCATTTCTCCAATTTCTTCTTTAAGGCAACAACATCTTCCGGTCGGGCATATTCATATTTTGTTACCAACAATTTTAATCCTGTATAAAAATAGAAGTGAATTAATAATTTGCTGCTTTTCTATCAGCTGTAGGGCTGTGCTGCCACAAAGGATTAAATAAATGTAAATGCAAAATGTAAGTATATGCAGTAGATGCCACAAACTCCAACAAGAGAAAAAAAAAAATTAGAATTTAAAGCTATATCCATATTCCATGAAATGATGTGTCTGAAGGTTCTAAAGTTCCTGTACGTTGAGGTGTTACATTTTAGTCTGTTCCTGCCAATGGTAGATATCCACGCTGTATCTGAGACCCCTGTAGCTTCTAACAGGCCTATACCTACTTGAAGTTGGCTTTTCTTCCCCCACCTACTGGCCAATTAATACTTTGCGGTCTATATGTGAACTACATAGGGTGGTTTAAGTTTTGCTTAGAAGTGACCACCACTGATAATACCTTGTATTCCCTGTGACATACAGTAATACATATGGGGTATTTCATTAAACTGAGAATTATCTGGAGTTCAGAGAAGGGAGTTTCACATTTAAGGCCAAATTAGCCAAACTGTTAAAGTTCTGCAAGTGAACGATGTTTCCAGTTCGGTTACTTTGGTCATAAATTTGAAATGTACAGCAATCCTCACGTTAGTGGATAATCCTGTCATTGTTATATTATGGGTCACATATTGTGTGTTTATACAAGATGCAGAAATGAAGACCTCATTGCATGAAAGAGGTGGCTAAATTGAAAACTAAATCACAATTATAAATGCAGCTGCCAAAAATTGGTATATAGACAGAAGCTTAAAGAAACACTAAAGCGTTGTAAATACAAACATGCAGGGACAGACTTTATGCTCCAGAACCACTACATTAAGCCGACATGGTTTTGGTGACTATAGTGTCCCTTTAAAACTGTAAGTAAACTAACTTGTATCCAACTTTGCTAGGAATGTTTTCAGTTAATCATAGCTGCACGATGGATAGACATTGCTCAACATTTGCCATAAGCCTGGTGAGTGTAAAATAGCCCTATAGGCTTGCAGTGGCAAGTAACTTTGAAGACTGGCTAGTAGGATAGGAGATGAAATTTGAATCCCTGCTTTAGACAGCATAGTATATTATAAACACACAAAACTATTCTTGCCATCTAACAATATGTAAGAATTAACATACTTCTCATTTCATCTAGTAGATTGGCCATGGTTTGTCGATCGTCCTTTAGGGAAAGGCATTCTGTTAAATAACTAAAAGTAAAAAAATAAATATTAAAATATATTTCAGCATTTATTTTGTTAGCATAGCAATGAAACAAATACTTAACACAACATTCTACATTAGAATGGAGAGGAGGTAGTGCAGAAGTTACAGACACTAAAATAGGGGAAATGTGGAGAACTTACAAAGGGATTACAAATTTTACAACAAAAAAAAAAATGGAAAAGCATTTTAACCAATTTTTCAGCTCGGCATTAAAAATCTTAATTAAATTTTCCACAATTCTCAAATTAGTGAGTACACTTTGCATACTTTTGATGTAAACTCCAGATTGAATTTATAAAGGTGTGTACAAATCAATGAGAAAATGTGAAAATCTTGGATGGAGACGTTGAACTTTCCCCATGGAGATGCACTGATTCAATGCATCTCTATAAGGAGGTGCTCATTGGCCAGAGCGGTGTTTGGCTCTGACCCACCTCCTTGCCTTCCTGACTTATTGTGACCCACATTGTGCATATAGTGAAAGAGTAGCTTGCTTGAAATAATATATAGTGTTGTCAAAGCAATACCTTTCAACATTAAGTCCTGCTCTTGAGGCACTAGATAAGATTGCTGTGAGGGCTATTAACGATGGTGGGAACAGTAAACATGCATCAGTCAGTGCAACTCTGTGCAAAAAGTCATCAGCTGTTTTTCTCAGCACTTCTGGATTCTCCAACACAGGATAACGTGTCTGGGGAAGAAAAGGAATAAAATTAGGTGTATTTTGACTCTTGAAGACTGAAATGTGCACACATGTAGCTCTGAAATACCCTTTATGAAATGCAGTTACTATGGTCCATAAATAGCCTTTGAAAGACTGCTATATGGCATAAGTATACTGTTATTATTGTTATTTATAAAGAGCCAACATATTCTGCAGGTCTGTACAGTTGGGGGGAAAAAAAACCACTACAATATACAAAGACCAATACAAATTAAAATAAAGACAGACCTGTTCGAGAGAGGAGATCTAGCCATGGAAGCTCTTTTATTCCAGATACTTAGCTAGATAGCCAAGAGCTTACAATCTAAAGGTTAAAATGGCTACATGTAACAACGGTCTTGCCTTGGCTTTCCTGTCAATACATGGTTAAGACTAGATCTACATCTGCAGGAGTGTGGACATTTCAAAATCTACTAGTACAAGCATCTAAAGTGGTAGCCCAATATATTTGTCCTGACACACAATATAATGTCCCTAGAGTCCTGGATATTGGCAGGTATATTTCCTAAACTCCAAATTTTCAAAAAAAAATATAGATATGGAAAAATACGCCAACTCCGTTATACTCAAAGCTTTTTGCCTTGGTTTTCTATTCAAATTTAATTTGTGAAAAATTGGAGCTTTGTGAATAATCCTCTGCTTCCCCCATTGTGTGTGCATGCAGGCTGTGTGCAACTTGTTTGCTGGAAGTGCCTATTAGAGAATTGCTGGCCATGTCGAATATGTGGGTGTGAGAGGTTTGCAGGTCATGTGTAATATGTTCTGTTTTGTCCCCATCTGCAAAGGTTTCTGCAGTGTGGGGGGGGAAAGGGTGGGAGGGAGGGATGACGACAATATTGCTAGGTGGTCCAGTAGGAGTTAAAGTGGGGGAGCTTGTGGTCTGCACCCACCGGTCTACAGGGGTGCCACTGATTGGCTTATGGCAGTCAGCTGACAATCTAAGTCTATGAGTTGCTTCTCATGGATAAAAAATAAATAAAAAAAAATGTAAACCCCCATATATATCTAGATCTTTTTAAATGAATGGTGAGCTATGACTGGCTTAGGACGTCGTCTCTGCCTGGCGACACTCCGTGCTTCCTGTAACGGAGATTCTGAAGCCGAATGCTGCTTGGGTGACCTGCAGATCAACGGTGGAAGCAAACTTTGGGGTTAAAACTGTTCGAGAATGGTTTAACCCCTTAAGGTAAGAGTGCGTCCAGGAGCCACTGGGCACCAGAACAACTTAATTTAAATGGAGTTTATCTGGTGACTGGAGTGTTCCTTTAATGTCATTCTGAAGGGTGTTGTCTTTCAGTTGCACATTTTTACACTGATGATGCTAGAGCAAGCAATACTGTACAGTCATCCATATAATTATTCATCAATTTGCACAATAGATTACCTTTAGATCAATTAAAAATCCTTCAAAGGGTCTATAAGGGTTGTGCACTATGAGGTGGAAATTCAGCTGTTGTATCAGGAGGAGTTCATATTCCAGGATCTGTTCAAGAATCTTCTCCTGTCCCACTGGATTCTCCCCTAAGTTGGCAACAAACTGGGCACTGGATACATTGAATTCGTCCACTTTGCAAGCCAAGAACATACAGGTCAGCCTTAAATACAAAACAAAGAATACAAAACTTCAGTGAAGGATTGCCCATAGCTGCACTTGGGACATGTCTCTGATGTGCACAGCTCTGTGTATTGCATGATTCACTGTATTGTATGCAGCTCTGTGTACTGTACTAGGTGTTGAATACATAGGGTTAACGGACAGACAACATGTCAGAAGATGGTTACTACAGAGCTAAAGGGTAGCACCCAACAATCTTAAGACTTCACCAGCCAGCACTGAACTGTTCTTATGTTAAAAAGCATACTGGAAGTACAGAGAAGGGTGAGTAGGTAAGAAACATTTATGTAGTAACAGAATTACAACATTATGGAAGAGTTATTTTTGGGTACCTTTACCTGAGTGCAAGTCAAAATAAATATTGCACGCATGAGAGAAAAAGACCGTAATGTGTTTAGGTTGTTAATACATCTCTTTCATTAGAATTATTTTGATCACTAATATGGACGATAACAAAATGCAAGATGAATGGAAAAAAGTAGCAGAGCTGTACAAACTTACATTATTATGCGTGGGTGATGCTCCATGACCGAATTATTGAGATAGAAGCGTTTGAAGTACATACATGCTGTTCCCTGAAAAGAATTGATTGAACAAATCATTGAAATTAAAAGAAAACAGGCATTTACATTTATCAAATCTCTAATACATGTGCACTAACTACATACAGTTAAACTACAAGCAAGACGTAATATCTATCCTAGTGAATGATTTTAACAAAACAATTCTTAAGAATATGAAATTAAAGCAGCACAGAAACACACAGTTGTGCATCTTTCTAGTCAAAAGAGAAATTGGGGCTATATTGTTCTTTCAGCATACCTTCCTCTGAAACACCAAGAAGGAGCAGTGATACTTTGTATACAAGAAAATGGCAAGCTGCTCCCTCCAGGCATTGTGCATATGGACTTAGCACATATTTATTGGAATGCCATGTGGAGTCTATGCTGGTCTATGTGCAAGCCATGATTGTGTGGGTTTGTTCCCAATCCACACTTTATCTTTTTCTGGATTTGCTCCTGACAAAAACAGGAGATTAGAGGTTTGGGTACAGACCTCCCACTTCCCTCCAAGCTTTGTTTCTCATTTATTAAAGGACCACTCTAGGCACCCAGACCACTTCAGCTTAATGAAGTGGTCTGGGTGTCAGGTCCAGCTAGGGTTAACCCATTATTTTATAAACATAGCAGTTTCAGAGAAACTGCTATGTTTATGAATGGATTAAGCCTTCCCCCAAAGCCTCTAGCGGCTGTCTCATTGACAGCCGCTAGAGGCGCTTGCGTGCTTCTCACTGTGATTTTCAGTGAGAGCACGCCAGCGTCCATAGGAAAGCATTGTAAATGCTTTCCTATGCGACCGGCTGAATGCGCGCGCAGCTCTTGCGCGTGTGCGCATTCAGCCGACGGGGAGGAACGGAGGAGGATCGGAGGCGGAGAGCTCCCTGCCCAATGCAGGAGAAAGGTAAGTTTTACCCCGTTTCCCCTTTCCAGAGCTGGGCGGGAGGAGGACCCTGAGGGTGGGGGCACCCTCAGGGCACTATAGTGGTCCTTTAATACCAGTCGGTAGAAGGAACTATGAGCCTTGCCTCCTCTAATGTTTAGTATAGTTTACTACTAAATTAAAGCAGTCCATGAAAACACAATTTAAATAAGACTCAACTCACCAGAACAGATTTTGGCATTGCAGGTTTGAAGGCATTACAGAAGTCAAGCAGTCTCTTTTCATAGTATTTGCAGATAATTAATTCTTCATGAGGTTCCAAACTGAATATCTCAGATAATTGTGCCTAGAAATAAAATGCAAACCATGAGTTAAAATAAAGTTGTAATTAGAATATGATTTCAAAATGTATATACATTACACAAGATGTTTTAGAACACACCAAGTAAATATTTGTGAACAGACTCTTCTAAAATTATTAAATAATTGCATGCAGGTTTTTTTTTTGTGTGAAGTCACTTGAGCCAAAAAGGAGACAGTATAAATATAATAACATACATCAGAAAGACAGTATGATACCTGCACAATGTTAAAGGCGCATTATTGAATTATCAATAATGCTGAAGACAGACAAGTAAAGGCATGAGTCTGCAGTACAAAGCATTATAGCATTACTGGATCAGTACTGATCCAGTAATGTAACCCAGCTCTGATCCAGTAACATAACCCAGCACTGTGAATACATGTTTGGAGTACTTTCATTTCCCATAGCCTGGAGTGAGCAGAGCTGTGGGTGTCCTAGAATGGTGGTAATGGCAATGCATGGAATGAGCTCCATTCCCCATAACCCCAGTCAGCTGGCCACCATCACTGCAGTCCCCAGAGCCCGTCACTGCAGTCCCCAGAGCCCGTCGCTGGAGCCTGCCCCAGAGCCCGTCGCTGCAGCCTGCCCCAGATCCCGTCGCTGCAGCCTGCCCCAGATCCCGTCGCTGCAGCCTGCCCCAGATCCCGTCGCTGCAGCCTGCCCCAGATCCCTTCGCTGCAGCCTGCCCCAGATCCCATCGCTGCAGCCTGCCCCAGATCCCATCGCTGCAGCCTGCCCCAGATCCCATCGCTGCAGCCTGCCCCAGATCCCATCGCTGCAGCCTGCCCCAGATCCCATCGCTGCAGCCTGCCCCAGATCCCATCGCTGGAGCCTGCCCCAGATCCCATCGCTGGAGCCTGCCCCAGATCCCATCGCTGGAGCCTGCCCCAGATCCCATCGCTGGAGCCTGCCCCAGATCCCATCGCTCAGCCTGCCCCAGATCCCATGTGCAGCCTGCCCCACAGATTTATGGCTGCAGCCTGCCCCAGATCCCCATGGCTGCAGCCTGCCCCAGATCATCATGGGCCCCTTACCCCAGATCCCATCGCTGCAATACCCCCAGATCCCGTCGCTGCAGCCTGCCCCGAATCCCATCGCTGGAGCCACCTTTGAATCCGTCATGGGGCCTGCCCCAGATCCCATCGCTGGAGCCTGCCCCAGATCCCATCGCTGGAGCCTGCCCCAGATCCCATCGCTGGAGCCTGCCCCAGATCCCATCGCTGCAGCCTGCCCCAGATCCCATCGCTGCAGCCTGCCCCAGATCCCATCGCTGCAGCCCCAGATCCCATCGCTGGAGCCTGCCCCAGATCCCATCGCTGCAGCCTGCCCCAGATCCCATCGCTGCAGCCTGCCCCAGATCCCATCGCTGCAGCCTGCCCCAGATCCCATCGCTGCAGCCCCAGATCCCATCGCTGCAGCCCCAGATCCCATCGCCGGAGCCCTAGATCCCATCACCGGAGCCCTAGATCCCGCCACTTGCTGCAGTGCAGCCCAGGGTTAGGTCACCGTACCTTCCCCGTGGCTCGGATCTTCGCTCGCCACCTGCCGTTTGCCTGAGCCCTCAGCCGCACCGGCTCGCTGTCGCTGGAGAACGTCCAGTGCTTCCTCTGGGTGCTGATATGATACATGGTCCGCCTGATGTCAACAGCGGCGCGCAGGTATTACGTCACGACTAGGGAAGAACGCGGCGCTCCAGTGACGTCACCCGCTAGAGGGCGCGGCTTGTGTGTGCGGGAGTTGCGAGTGAGCCAATCAGCGGCTGTGTGGAGCAGCACGTGACACGTTATTGACTACATACAGTGTCAGCAGCCTTGGCTGCTGGATCCATCAGAACTTCCTGGAGAGGAAGCAGTAATAATTAAACATGGTGCACCTGGCAGTCCTATCACATGTCCATGTATTATTTATTTATTTTTGCAAGAATGTAATAAACATTATTCATTCTAGTGCTGTGATGTGTAATATAGAGCTCCACAACAATAAAACTCACTAAAGGGAGAATTCAAATTAGATTTCAAGTTAACTTCATATTTAAAGGGACACTATGGTCACCAGAACAGAAGCTGAATGTAGTTGTGGTGTCTATATCCTGTCCCTGCAGGCATTTTCATGTAAACACTGCCTTTGTGTGTTTACATTGCTCCCTAGGGACACCTCCAATGGCAATCATGAAGACAGCCACTAGAGGCGCTTCTTGAGTTGGGCTGAACGTTCCCCATACTAATGCATTGATTCAATGCATCTTTATAAGGAGGTGCTGATTGGCCAGGGTGGTGTTTGGCTCCGTCACGCCTTGCCTCCTTGCCTAAATCATCAGAATTAACTGTGGGAAAACATTGAGATCATCAGTTCTGATAATGTTAGCCAAGAAGTCAGATCGGGGGTGGGGTCAGAAATAAATATGAAATAAGAGTGAGTTTTTACTCTACATTTAAGGGGGGCCACCTAACGTGTTTGAAACAAGAATACGTGTTTGTGTTCCTCACCCTATAGTGTTCCTTTAATGTCAAAATAACCAAATAAAACGGATTAAAAGTGAGTTTTTACTCTACATTTAAAGGATCACTATAGTGTCAGGAAAACAAATCGGTTTTCCTGACACTAAAGTACCCTGAGGGTGCCCCCACCCTCATGGTCCCCCTCCCGTGGTGCTGAAGGGGTTAATACCCCTTCAGTTACTCACCTTCTTCCATTGCCGGGCTCCCTTACCTCTCCTACCCCGCCAACGTCAGCTCCCCCGTCTGACATCAGCGGAGCGGAATGCACATGCGCGGCAGTGCTGCGCACGCATTCAAAGTGTCCATAGGAAAGCATTTTTCAATGCTTTCCTATGGATGCGCTGCGTGATGGAGGCATAATATGCCTCCAGCGTCGTAGATGTGCCTCTAATGGCTGTCCAGAAGACAGCCACTAGAGGCTGGCTTAACCCCAAATGTAAACAGCAGTTTCTCTGAAACTGCTATGTTTACAGCAGGCAGGGTTAACCCTAGAGGGACCTGGCACCCAGACCACTTCATTGAGCTGAAGTGGTCTGGGTGACTATAGTGTCCCTTTAAGGAGGGCCACCTAACGTATTTTAAACACTATAGGATCAAGAATACGTGTGTGTGTTCCTCACCCTATTCTGGTCTTAAATTTAAAATTGACTTTGAATTCCCACTTTACTAAATAATCCTGTGTCTATCACAAAGCTCCACAAAAATTAAATACACAATATAGTGCAGTGTTTATGACTTGCTCACAGAGCCTCGTGGCAATAAAGCTCACAGTAATCTAAGAGACCCTAGTTCCACATTTTAATTTAATAAAATACATTTTGTTGCCAGAAGTTATGCACATGACATATATTGGTCATATATACATAGATCGCGTTATATTTAATTTGATATATTTTCATTTTATATATATTTTGTAATCTTAGGTGGCCGTGCTACCAGTGATGTTAAGTCTGATAAGGCAAACAAAAGATTTTAATGTCTGCAGTCAACAAGCAGTGGGTGCTGACAACAGATATAATTTATGCACAGAATTGAAATTAGGCAGCATGGAACCGAGTTGTCTAACCCAGCCCTAACCCTACTCCTAATCCTAACCCAACCCTAACCCTATTCCTAACCCAACCCTAACCCTACTACTAATCCTAACCTAACCCTACTCCTAACTCAACCCTAAACCTAACCCTACTCCTAACCCAACCCTAACTCTAACTCTACTCCTAACCAAACCCCAACCCTAACCCTACTCCTAACCCTACACCTAACCCTATTTCTAACCCAACCCTAACCCTACTCTTAACCCTACTCCTAACCCAATCCTAACCCTAGCCCTACTCCTAACCCAACCCTAAGCCTATCTCTACTCCTAACCAAATCCTAACCCTACTGTGACGGAATGCTGGCATTTCGACCGAGTACCTCCGCCAATCGATGCTCCTAGCACTTGCAGTGGGCAGGTCTCTCTTCTCCCAGAGAGCGTAGCAGGAACAAGAACAGCTCTTACAAGAGCTTACCCTGGGGAGTATAGTGTGAATATAGCAATCCCCAGAGTGCAGTTATCCCATCCCCCAAACACGAGCCAAGGCTTCAAGAAAGGGTCAAGTAGTTCTGTTTAATGGCAGCAAAGGGCTTTCTTTTATGCAAGTTTTTACACACAAAGTAATCAAACACGTACAATACAGTTAAACACTCCCATTTATTCCCACAAAATCCTCCCCTCTGCCTGTGATATAATTACTGAACACAA